AAATAAAATTTTTATTTACGCCAAATAAATAAGTTAGTAGGCTCTGAGACAAATATACGTTTATTTAACTCAAATATATTTTATTTAGTTCAAATAAATCATTTCTCTGGGTGCAAAAAGTGAGTCACTAAATCAAATTAGTAAACATTTTTACTAATTCAGATTTAGAGAGTGGTTTGTTCTTGTAACAAATTTTTGTTTTGTCAACATCCAGAGAAATGTTTTATTTGAACTAAATATAATATATTTCAATTAAATAAACTATATTTGTCTCATAAAAATTATATTTGTCATAACTAAAATTTTTATGCAAATCAAATAAAAATTTATTTTCAACAAATAAATATATTTATTAGACTTTTTTCATTTGAATTTAGTTAAATTTTTCCTAATTCGATAGTAGCAAAATTTTTGTTTACCATTAATTAGTTAAATGTTACTAATTCAAAAGCAAAAAATTTAGTGACTAATACAAATTAGTTAAAATATTGACTAATTCAGATTTAGATAGATATAAATTCTATTTTTTAATCGTTCAGCGATCAAACTATTTTGCAGATATACCAACTGTTTAAATCTGAATAAGTTAAATTTTAAAGTACAATTATACATGAAAAGTGCGTTTATTATGAAGACATAATTTAAAAATTATTATAAAAGGATGACTTAGACTTCAAGGTCTTGGAAAATGCGGGTGAGCAGCCGTTTGTAAGCGTGACTTTTGTAATCAAGGGGCCATTTTTTTACAAATATAATGTACCACACACAGCCCGCTTCTCTTATATACTTCCGGTTCTGCTACTTTTTCCGAATCAGATGTTATGCATATGGAGCACCTGGTGGTGGCTGAACTTAACGACATATTTTATATTATTAGTGACGTTGAAAAGACATTATATATATATATATATATAGTGAAGGGGAAATATGTCAAAAGTATAGTTGCATATGCACACAAATATTATAGGGTGCATTTTTGTCTTTAATATTAAAATAATAGTAGAAAAGATATGTCATGTTTTATATAAGAGTCAAGAAATCTTATTTTTAGTTGCAACTTATTTGTTGAATTTTACAATACACTGCAAAAAACTGAAGGTCTTAAAAGTGCAAAAAACGTCTTACTTTAAGAAGTCTTCCGCTTCTAAATGTATTTATTAAAACCATTCCTTTTTTTCACTTTTAAGAGTGACAGTTTTTGCGCAGTGATATAGATAAACAGTAAAAAAGAAAATCTTATTTTACAATAAAAAGAGAATCTTATTTTAAAGGGATAAAAGGAGTCTTATTTTAAGATCTAACATTTTTAAGAAAATACATATTGAATTTCTGAAAAAATTATAATATCAGTTATTTTTATGAGCTGAATTTAAGACAATTTTTTGGCAAAATCAGCAACTGCTTGAATTTAAGACTACGCTTTTGTGAATTAAGACTCAAGAGGATCTGAATTTTACGCATATCTTAAATTAAGATTTATGAACACCTCATTTTACCCTATATTTAGTTTGATTTAAAATTATTTTGCACAGTAAAAAGACAGTCTTATTTTAAGACAGAAAAGGTGTCTTATTTTGAGAGGCAACATTTTTAAGACAGCCCTTACTGAATCTAAGCAATGTATTTATATGCAATTTGAATTTAAATACATTATGGCTGAATTTAAGACTCATCTTAAAATAAGACTTACTTTTTACCTGTGTAACTATTAAGATTTAAAACTATTAATGTAAGATTTTTTTACTTAAAAAAATTTAATTAATCCTACATCTTAAAAATGTTCTAACTTAAAATAACACCTTTTTTTCTTTTAAAATAAAATTTCAGTTTTACAGATAACAGAATAAAGAAAATTTCTTATGTTAAAGGAAAGGAGTGTTTTCGAGTGTTTGTAACATTTTTAAGATAGCCTTTACTGAATTTCTTGAAATGTATGAATATATTAATTATTCACTTGTGTTGAATTTAAGATAATAAGAGCTGAAAGCTAAAATTAATATTCAAGCTTTCTAAAAATTAAAATTCTTAATTTCAGATTTTATATTCAAGTTTCAAATTAAAATTAGCCTTATTTTTAGGGCTTATTTATTTTCAGTCACATCATAAAATAATACTTTCCATATTAATAAAAAGCCAAACCAAAAATACACTGAAAAATCAAAACTAAATGTAAAAATATATTTTTGGCATCTATTTAATTTTTCCTATACATTTTATTCTTAGAATTAAAATTCCTTATCAAAATTTATGTAATAGGAAATTTCTATAATAGGTCTATCATTATTTTTCTATAATATATGTTATTCCTTTAGTGAATTCTATTTGAACCGATTAATACATTGTGAAACAATTAATTTCAATAAAAAATAGTTAACATAATATGTTAACTATTTTTTATTGAAATTACAAAATTACATTTCAAGCCGTGGAAAATATGCGCTAAAAATTGCAAAATTTTCATATAAGAAATTCTAAATAGAAATACCTAAATTTTTATAAACTTAATACAGGATTTAATAATATTTAGTATAACATTTAGTAACATGTAGTAATTACTTTCTATCATTTTTTCTATATAATTTTTTTTTATTATTGTTTTTTGTACCTTTTTTCCTATAATTTTTCTACTCTCTAAATCTGAATTAGTATAAAAATGTTTATTAATTTGAATTAGTGACTCACTTTTTGCTTCTAAATTAGTAAAATTTTACTAATTATTAGTAACTTTTACTGACAATTAGTAAAATTTAACTAATTCAGAAACAAAAAGTAACTTTTACTAACAATTAGTAAAATTTAACTAATTCAGAAGCAAAAAGTGAGTCACTAATTCAAATTAGTAAACATTTTTACTAATTCAGATTTAGAGAGTATATTGTCGCAAAAAAGTGATAGAATATATATTATAAAAAAGAAATATATATAATCGGATATGAGAAATTTATAAAAATAGGCCTATTATAAATTTTCGTAAGGGTCGACATAGTTTCACAATATTAATATCACAATAATTACAATCATTGTGTATATGAAATCGATATAATATATAGATATACAATCGATGGTAATTATACAATAATTGATATATTCATTGAAGTAGAAACCTGCATGGGGTGAGGAGTTAACCCCACGCACACAAGTCCTCCAAAAGAGGGTCAAGATTCGCCTTTCCCCTCCTTCTCTTCAAAAAATTTAATTTTTACATCCCTGCAGATGCGGAAAATAGGAACCAAAAATATAAGCAATAGAATTGAGTGAAAAAAAAAAAATGCTGAAAGTTATACATATATAGAAGAGAGGGTGAACTCAGGGTAGATTGTTAGCGCACACAGACAAGGAAAAAAAAATGGTGTGTTGGTGAGGTGCCATGACAGGTCGGCCGGTCAGCCTGGCCGTATGCATGGTCCACCTGCGATAGACCCAGCACCTGTCGCCGCACGCGCACCAACCACTATACCTTATCCACTGGCTATATAGAGGGCTGAGGCAGATAATGGGGTGTATAGCCTGCGCCCTGCCTTTTTCCCCCTGAGCTCGCCTTCAATTCTCTATATATCTTCGCAGTCAGTATTTAAACTTCGTATAAAGAACATATCCAATATATATATATATTTATAAATATAGAGAATAATACGTCACACATGACACTAGTCTTTTTTTAAAAAAAAATTTTCCCTAATATTGTGCAATAACTCCCTTCCCTCCCCCCCTTTTTTCTCTCTATGTGAATTGAATTTAAATATTTTGTGACGTTTTTATAAATTGTTAAAAAAAATTGTCTCGTTTTATTATGTTGTTATTGTTTTTTCAAGTGAAAATAAAATAGAGAATTGTTATATAATGTTTATGTGTGTGAATTTATATTTGGAGAAAAGTAATGTGAGGTATTACATACCATTATTACTCATTTTTTATTAATTATTGTGAAACTATTTTGTTTTAAATTCGGAAACCTTATTAAATTCTTTTTTATTTAGTAAAAAGAAAATTTTGTTTTAAGGAAAAAACACAGAAAACCACACGTAAACTGAAATTAAGATTCTTGGTATTTAAGAATATTTTATACTTATCCCAATATGGGAAATTGCCAATGGTAACCATTGGGCTATTATAGGAGGAATGATGGTCCAATATTGGGTCACTCTTTTGCCAATGGTAAATTTCCCAATTAAATTCGATATATATTCTTATTTTAAGAATAATATATACTTAATTTAAGTATAAAATCTTAAATATACGCCAATATATTCACAGAAAATTAAAAGGCATTAAAATAAGCTGCAACGCTTATTATTTTAATCCATTTTGGTATTAAAATAAGCAAAATTGGATTAAAATAATAAGCGTTGCAGCTTATTTTAATACCTTATAACTTTCTGTGTTCTTAATTTCAGTTTACGTGGTTTTTTTATTTTTATAAAGGAAGTCTTATTTATGCAACATTTTTAAGACAGCCTTTACACGGAGAAAAAGAAAAAGTAATTTTTACTACTTTCAGAGTAAAACTGGACCAACTCGAAGTTTCTGCGCATCTCTGGCAATTTTTACTCCAAAAATAGTAAAATTTATTATTTCTGTAGTAAATTTTACTGTTTCCGTAGTAAGTTTTACTATTTCTAGAGTAAATTTTACTATTTTTGGAGTAAAAATTGCCAGAGATGCGCAGAAACTTCGAGTTGGTCCAGTTTTACTCTGAAAGTAGTAAAAATTACTTTATAAAAGAAATCTTTTTTCTCCGTGTACTGAATTTACAGAATTTAATTTACGATCAAAATTTCTTAAAATAAGAATTTTTTAAAAATTGATATAAATATGTTATTTTAAATAATTTCTTTTAACATAAGTATTAATTTAAAAAGAAAATCTTATTTTAAGATAAATTCAGATTAATCATAAATTCAGCAAACTGTCATAAAAAACTAAAATAAAATTAATTTTTTTCAACTGTGAAAAATGTATAAGAAAATAAAAATATTGGTATTCTTCTTTTTTTTTTGAAGGGTTTTATAATGATTGAGAAGATTTTTGAGGAAAATTATTGGTGATGAAAGAAGTGAAATATGAAGATGAATGTGCCTGATGTTGAGGTACAAACGTCAACGTCGACGATGGAAGTTATGGAGACGGATAATTATGGCGTCGAAGCTGAATTAACAAGTTTATCTTGGCTACAGTCTCTCGATATTACAAGTGCATCAAGTCTACCAACTCCACCATGTTCGCCATCTCCACCCCCTATCCCTCGTCAACCACCCAAGAAGATGTCCCCTTTGCTCAAAGCTGAATTAGGTACACATATATATATATTTTTATTATTAGGAGTGAAAAAATTCGAAAAGAAAATTCTCTAAACCCGAAATAGTGAAAAATGAGCTACTAATTTTAATTAGTAATTAATTTTAATTAATAATTTTAAATAGTATCACTGAAAAAAAAAATTTATTTGATTCAAATATTCGATCACTTGACTATTATCAAATAAATATTTATTTTGTATCAAATAATTATTATTTAAGTCAAGTAAATGGTATTTGTTTCAAATACATAAATTATTGTTTCAAATACAATTTATTTAATTCAAATAAAAATTATTTGGTTCATGTAAATATTTTTTTTATAATAGTCAAGTAATCGAGTATTTGAATCAAATACATTTTTTTCAGTGTAAGAATTTTATACTAATTTTTAGTCACGTTTTACTAAAACTTTAGTAAATTTAAAATAAAATTAAATTAAAAAGTTATTAATAATTAAATTAATTATTAAATAGTACTAAAGAAATAGTACAAATAGTAAAAATTGGTACTAATAGTTACTAAAAATAAGAACAAATTCTTACTAATGTGAATTTTCACCACACTGAAAAAAAATTATTTTATTCAAATAATCGGTTACTTATTATCACAAAATATTTATTTGTATTAAATAATTATTACATATTTGTCGCAAAGAATATTATTTTTTAAAAACAGTATTATTAAAATATTTTTAACATTTGTTCTTTCCTTTTTTTTTTCTTTTTCTATACTTTTTTCTTATTGTACTAAAAGAAAACTGAAAATTTCTACTAATTATAAAATAAGTATTTAATAAATTTTTCTTTCAATGTAATAATATTCTTTTTACCAAAAATTTTTAATTATCAGAAATATATTAATATAAAATCAATTTTAATAAAAAAAATTTCCTTATTATCACTTTCGTAAATCAAAGTAAATAAACAATATTATTTTATGGTATAAATATAGCAAATTTTTTTTTAAATTAAAAACTATATAAACTATTTTTAAATTAAATAAATAAATTTTCTATGGTATAAGTGTATTGTTTTTAATTAACAAATTTATTAAATTTGTTCAAATTATTTTATTTATATTTATAAATTGAATATAAATAAGCAATCATATATTTTTTATGACTGTGATTATATGTTTTTATTAAAAAGTGAATAAAGTATTTGCAAATTAAATAAATTCGAATTTTTTTTTCAGATCTAGTCGAGAACGCTGATATATATCGCACAGATTGGAATGCAAAACCTCCTTTTTCATATGCAACACTTATATGCCTTGCAATGCGAGCAAATAACAATAAACTCACATTGTCAAATATTTATGCATGGATTCGTGAAAATTTCTTATTTTACAAGCACGCCGATCCAGCTTGGCAGGTAATTAGTTACAAATTTAAAAAAAAAATTGTTATTAAATTTTTTTATAAAAAAATATTTTTAATTATAAATTAATTTTCTTTTTTTTCACTTCGTAAAAAAAAGGCCAAAATGAATATATATATAAATAGAAATTTAATGAAGACAATTTTTTTTTTTTTTTTCTTCACAGAATTCCATTAGGCACAATTTGTCACTCAACAAATGTTTCGTAAAATTGCCACGTACAAAAGATGAGCCGGGAAAAGGTGGTTTTTGGAAATTGGACTTGGGTCGAATTGAAGAGGGTAAACGAACAAGGCGGCGAAATGCAACAACACGAAATAATAATCGGCGTTCAAAAAAAGTGCCACAAACAACGTCTGATATAACTCCATTGACAATGACAACAGGACTTTATGAAACTCCGCCAAATAGTGTCTCACCTCCAATTCCCGATAGCTTATCAGAAGTACCTGAATCAACACAGGTTAGCCTCACTGAAGAAGATTTAACTGGACTTTTAATTTCTACCGTTGGTTGGGATGAAAATCAATTAGAACTTCTTGATTCATTATTAGATGCCCTTTAAATATATAAATATATATATAATCCTTTATTCTTTTTCGAGAATTCATTCAAAACATTTTTCCTGCAATTATTATTATTATTATATATAATACAGTATAGATAAAAGGATTCATGAGTTGAATAATATTTAGAATTTTCGGATTTTTTTTCCATGAGCAGAAAAAAAATATAGTGGAATTGATTTTTTTTAAAAAGAAGATCAGAATTAATTTTTTTTTTAATTTCAGTATCAGAATCAGAAAAGTCTTAACAGAATTGTGCCACTGATGAAAATTAATAATAATTAACTGCGTAAAAATAAATTTTTCACTAGCTTGAAAAAAAACATTTTTTTTCACATTAAATTTTTACATAATATACGTAAAATATCTCTTAAACTATTATATTTTTACGCATATTTGTAATTATCAATTTAGATTAGAATATTTTTGTTTAAAATTTTTTTTTATATTTTCATTCAACTCAATTTTTTGATCTTAGCCAATTTGCTTTTAGTTTAGAAAAATTTTAATTCTGGTAACTTAGAAAATTTGTATATTTTGTTAAAATTTTTTTTTTTTTTTTTTTTTTTCATTGAAATGTATAATTTTTCAGTATGAGTTAAATGTAACCAAGTCTAGCTATACCAAAGATTTAATTATTCCTTATTTATGAAAATGTTATATATATGTATATCGCTATCCATTTTTTATACATAGGTAACCTACATATATCTAAATATAATTTAAATTAATTTTGTTTTCAAGTCTCTTTTTGTTATAGATACAAGAACTATCGCCTTTGTAGATTTTGAATCAGATTTTAATCAAAAATTTTATTGGATATTAATATATTGTGCCCAATAAATGATTTTTAATTAAATATTTTAAATTTTTGAATCGAAAAATAATTTTCTTAGTATTTTAAAAATCACATATTATTCGTTTGCAAATTCAAACTATTTTTATAAAAAATTATTTGAGTAATAAAACATATAAATGTAATTACTATCCTTCTATTCCTCTTCCTTATTTTCTTCTTTTATTTAAATTTTTTCATCTACAAAGGAAATAATTCACGTATATCATATTTATTGTTGCGAAAAGAAAGCAAAACCTATTTTATCAAAAAATCTTGGTTCAACGAAACCTACAAGGACTCTATTATATACCTAAGTGCCTATAAAAAAAAATTGATGTGTAATTCTTCTGCATTCTTCCGTCCATTAAATCATCAAGGGAAAAAGTTTTAAATGATGTTAAAAATTTAAATTTGTGGCAATTAGAAAACAAAAAAAACGATTATAATTTTGGAATGAAATCTTTGCAATATGCGCGAGTCCTTAAGGGTAAAAGGAATTGCTAAACAAAAAAAAACAAAAAAATGATTAAGACAAAGATCATTTGTATATATCGACGTATTTATATAATTTATCATATAAGTTAATTTATTAAATTATAGCTGTACTATATATAAGTAGTAAAATACTAAAATCGTTTCAATTGGTGTGACATGCGCTCCAATTTTTGCCTTTTCAGTATCCGTCCAAAAAAATTAGTAAGTAAGATTACTTACTTATTCAAGTATATTATTATCACTTGAAAAGAATAAAAAATCTTCTCATCTAAGTTGAGATTATAATTTTTTCATTAAAAATCAAGAACCAGCGTTCGATTTTGAAAATTTATTGTACATAAAGTTGTGTTTAAAAAAAAAAAATTCGTTTTAAATTGAGAAAATTTTTTTTTGAATACCTAAATTTTTTTCATTTATCACTAAACATGATCGTTAATAAAAAAAATATAAAAAACCGTAATTTATGAAATAACCAGAATTATATATAAAAAATTTTGACTTTTGAAGCTAAATCAAATAAAATAATCTATCAAAGTAATTATTAATTAGTAAAATAAATTTACCGATTATTATCGGCACTCATATAAATCTTTAATTTACTAATTGAAAATTACTGTTTAGCTATCATTGTGTACTGATTGAAAAAAAATTGTGCCTTAATAAAAATACTATATCCAGAAAACAATTTAATTGATTCAAGCAAATATTTTATTATTATAAACCTTTAATTCATGCTTATTTTAGGATTGTTGGTTTGCTTGATTAAAAAAAAAACTGTTTTCTAGATGTACTTTCAATATTTGCCTTATTATTATAATTATTATTTATTATTATTATTATTGTTATATGTATAATTGAGCTTTCATTTAAATTAAAAACAAAGTGCTCAATGCAGAATGTCAATTGTGACATCAATCAACTAATTTAATGAATTTATAGAATTCAATGAAATTTTATAAACCATATCTTTTTTTATTGTTCATGTCAAAAAAAAGAAATAATAACTAATGGTAAAATTTTCCTTTCAACATATTTTTGTTTTAATAATTTTTAAAGACATAATCAAATTCATTAATTAGTTGAGTGATTGTTAACAAAAAAAAAAAAAAAAAAATTTGTAAAAGAGTACTGTAATAAGTAGTTTTGAAGTGTAAGAATACGAAATATAGAAGTGAATGTGAAAACAAAGAACATGATTTATTAATTTGAAAAAAAAATTGTTCCTGTGTTAAAGAGTGTAAAAAAATATTTCTGGTACCCAAAAAAAAAAAAATTATTTTTCAAAAATAATAAAGTTTATTTTTTTTTTACTCATTTTTAGGCACTTTAAGCTACCGTTCCTTAAAACCTTGATCAGATGATTGTATTTGGTTCAAGGTTACTCGAAATTATTTGATTCGCTAGAAAGCTATTGAATTTTTTTTTACATACATTTTTAGCGATCCTAAATATCTTTGACGAAAAAACTTGTTTTAAATAAGTTCTTCAAAGTGAGATCAAATTATAAAAAAAATCTTCTGACTTTTTAACATATAATTTTATTATTAATTTTTATGATATCAATTTGATAAAAATATAATTTTATCGTGATTTTATATATAAGTCTTTCTAACTATTAAATATATTTATAAATCTCAAGCAAATGGAATAAAATATTTTTCTGGATTAATTCATTTTGAGCAAGAGGCTTTTTAATTTTTTTTTTTTTTTTAAATGTAAAAGGTTTCCATTTTGATTACGTAATTTTTTGATTTCACAGAAAATTATTTTATTATTATTACAAATATATTTATGTATATATAGTTGGATTTTTATGTAATTTCACGCGATTTCAGATAACGATTGCCAAAAGGTAATCGCGGTTATTGCCCGCGGCATTAACCTCGACCCAGGACAATGTATTTGTATTTTGCGCGCAGCTCAGGAAATGTAGCTCAAATTGAGACCCAAAGAAAAAAAAAATTCAAACTCCTTTCTCTACCAAATCTCAACACGTGTAAATTATAAATCTATTGTATTTGAATTAATCATTGCAAAAACTACATTGAACAATTTTATAGATTTAATTTTTTTATTTTTTATTATATATAAACGTAATTTTTCTATTAAAAAGAAAAATTGAGTTTAATTTTAAAATTAAAAAATTTTTTTTTTGAATAATTCAATTGAAAATTTTGAATTAGTAAAATATTTGTAGTTTTGAAAATATTAAAAATAGAAATAGACTAAAAATCAGTTTAATAATTCGTTTTAAAAAAATATATTTATTAAAAAAAAATTCATTTTTTGTCTTTAATTTTCAATATCACAATAATTAACGCTTTTATTTGTAGGGACTGGATAATATTTCTAATTATTATTTTTATAATTCATAAGAGTTTTATTGATTAATGGGTATATAGACCTATATATACACATGTATGTATATATGTATAACTGGAAAAGCCAGTTTTACAGCTGTCGTAGTTCTAAATTGATCGATATTTCAAATGATCTGATTAAATATAACAATCCAATACTGTTACCTTGAAATGCAGATATAAGTAATAGTTCTAATTATATTGTAAAAAAAAAAGTGCAAACTTGTTCTGTTCATAAAATACTCACGCCTCCTGAAACCATTATATATTTAATTTATGTTTATACCATTCTCGCGCAAGTAAATAATAATATATTTTTAACATACATATATATATAAATATATTATTATTTTATTGATGGAATATTCTATTAATATATATTGTTATTACAAAATCATGCATATTTCCACATTCTCATATTAAACATAATTTCTCTTCAATTTATCAATTTTTTTTTTTTTAATTCTTTTGCTCTTTAAGAAAGTGTTATGCAATAAAATATATATCATATTTGAAAAATCGTTTACAAGACTAATTTTCTCTTATATTGAATAATTGAAATTTTTTTCTTTAAAAATTTTTATTTTTAATATTTTGCTGCACAAAATTATTATTAAAATTATTATCAAATTTATTATATAAAAATTTAATATTTAAAATATAAAATATAAAAAAGGAATAGAATAAAAAAACAATCAGAATTGTATAAATGATATTTTTCTTGAATATTCATTATGTTTGTAAATTTTTTTGAAAAATGTATAAATTTCAACATATTCATTAAATAAATTTGAATAGATAATTAGTTACCAGATAATTAATAATAATAATAACAATAAATTTATATTAATCATTACATCATGAATTATTAACATATAAATTATATTAGTTATTATAATTGATTAATTATTAGAGTACTGTGTAATTTGTTAATTATAAATAATTATTATTGATTGCTTGTAATTGCAATGAAGTGAAGATCCTTTCTGCGTCACTTATTTGCAATTTATAACATCCTTGTTCTGCTATTATATTTTTCCCCCTTTTATTATTATTGATTGCTAACTTTTTATTTTATTTTAATTTTTTTTTATTAGAATTATTTATAATAATATAAAATTAAAATTTAATATAAACATATTTTATTTAGCTTCATTTATTTAGTTTGTGTTTTTTATAAAAATCTACCTTGGTCCTTCTCAAATTTGAGGTCACTAAATAATATTCGTAATCAAAATATTTCAAAAAAAAATTTTTTTATAAAAATAATAATTAAAATTTAAAATGTTTATTTAACATATTACAGGTGTGTAGCCACAGACTAGAAATAAGATTTATTTGATCGTATCTTGAAGATATATTGGATTATGTATTTTCCTGTAATATGACAATTTGTTGAAATACCTAATACATTGTAAACATATTTCATATTAAGTATTACATTTATTATTATATAATATTACACTAATTATTATAAATATGCAAGTTTATCATATGGATAAAAATGACTGGTTACAAAGTGTCAAATTAAATGATATAAATTTCTGATTCTTTTTTTTTTACATTTAATTATAATATTATTATTGCTGTTTGTCAAAATCTTATAATTGAATGTAAAAACATTATTAATTCCCGGTTTTAGTATAACCTTGATTTGTTAATTTTTATAATACAACCTCCATTCAATTAGAAGTGAGCAAAAGTTCCTGTTGTCAAGAACCAAAAAAATACAAAAGTTATGACACTTTTTGTATCTATGAAAGTCCTACGTATACTATGTATAACGAGAACTTTGATTGAAATAACAGGGCCGGGGGAATAAATTTTCGTTGATCGTGCGATATATAATATAAATCTATACGAAAGAAAAAGAAGATGAATAATTTTTTTAATTGAAAAAATTGAAAATTATAAATATTGTCAAATTTTATAATTTTTGTATATTAATAATCATGGGGAAAAAATTTTTAATTAGAAAGTTAATAATAATTATTTTTGTGCAATTTCCCTCGGCCCTGCATCAACAAGCGTGCACATAATAACAAATATAATATATACGGATAAACTTTATTAAGCAAGCAGCCCCTCCACTATTTTGCACTCATAGAAAATATAAAGATTTTTTTTTTTAAAAATCCATTTAACTGCTTATTATGAATTCCATACAAATCTCTCAGGGTATAAATAGTGTTCAGGAACAAGTGGAATTATACAATTTACTTCTTGCAGTCGCAGAACTAGCAACCATGTTCAAGGTAGAGAAAAAAGGGAATCTTCTATTTTTTAATTATTTTTGTATATTTCATTTTTTAACTATGAGTGTTTGCAATTTTTTAATACTTTATTTTTGTTGTAAATAATATTTTAATTTTAATTATTTTTTTTATTTTATTGTAAATTATTTTTTCTGTTTTAAATAATTAATTTTTGTATAATTAATTTGTAATTTTGTAAATTATTCTAAATTCAAGAATATTAATATATTAAATTTAAGAATGTAATATTCTTAAAATAATAATATTTCTTAATTTAAAAATTGTTTCTTATTTTTTAACTAATTAATGAAATAAAGCGTATAGATTATATTTTTAAATACACTGAAAAAAAAGATTTATTTGATTCAAATAATTGACTATTATCAAAAAATAAATATTCATTTCTATTAAACTAATATTTATTTGTATTAAAAAATTATTTATTTTTATCAAAAAATGATTTATTTGTATTAAAAAAATATTTATTTGTATCAAAAAATTATTTATTTGTATTAAAAAAATATTTATTTGTATCAATTAATTATTATTTGTGCCAATTAAATTGTATATGTTTTAAATACAGTTTATTTGTTTCAAATAAAAATTATTTGGTTCAAGTAAATATTTATTTGACAATAGTAAAGTAACAGATTCAATTAGAAATAAATAAATTTTTTTCAATGTAGTAGCTAAAAATTATATTTTAAAAATAAAAATATTTAGATGAAACATTTTTTTATCAAACTTTTGTTATATTAAAAAATTATTTTACAGCTTTTCATTCTCGCATGCCTTATGGCAGTAGCCTACGCCGGCGTCGTTGTACCCGCAGTTCCTGTACATACTGCTAAAGTTGTTGCAGGTAATAAAAAAAAAATCTTATAATTATCTCTTCAACTTTTTAAATATCTTATAGAGCAACCTAGTTGTTAAAATATTTTCCTCCTTCAAATTTTCATATTAAAGTTTACTAATTTAAAAAAAAAAAATTTAAAAAGACGACACAGCGATTTATCGAGGGAAAAAATTTGTTTAGTAATATTCTACCTATTAATAATTATATTATTATAATTATTTTAATAAATTATAATATTTAAATAATTTATAATGCTTTCCATATTTTTATAAAGTAATTCATAATGTACTATATGTTAAATATAATTAAAAATTTTAATTAGAAATTATAAACTAAACATTTGTAAATTTGAATCAGAGAAAACTACACTTAATCCACTTAACTACACGTAATCCAATAAAATATAATATTATAATATTGAATATTAAAAATATTAATGAAATTAATAAAATATTAATAATATAATATTTTAATTTCAATAAAAAAGTAAAATTCAAAAAATATTTTTCAAAAACAAAGATAAAAATTTGACTTTATATTTTTGTATAAAATAAAATGTGAATTTATTTTTTCCAGCTCCCGCCGTTGTATGGGGCAAAGGTGGATGGAGCAATGGTTATGGATGGGGTAACAATGGATGGGGCAACAATGGATGGGGAAACAATGGCTGGGGAAACAATGGATGGGGTGATAATGGTGCTTGGGGAAACAAAGGATGGGGTAATGCTGGATGGGCCGGCAATGGTGCTTGGGGCAATGGTGCCTGGGGTAATGGATGGGGACATGGTAATGGATGGGCCGGTAATGGAGCATGGGGCAATGGAGCTTGGGGTAATGGTGCTTGGGGAAAAGGCTGGTAATTTTTTTCCAAATGCGATATTTTAATTCTGTATAAAAAAAAAAAATGTTTGTAAAAAAAAAGTGTGTCAGTAATTCGTCTCAATATTGGATATATATTCTCTGTACAAAGTTTTTTTGAAAAATAAATTATTGAAAAAAAAAAAAAAACAAATTCTTTACTTTCCCAATATTAATTCCTCTTTACCATATAAATATTATTTAGGATTCGAAGATACTTTTTTAAAATTAAAAAGTTAATTATTCAGCTTAAAAAAAATGTATATATTTTTTTTTATGAAATTTCTATAAGTATAGTAATTATATTTAAATAAATTCTTTGAAATATTTTTAATAAGAAAATATGTAATGAAGGTGATAAAGGCACTTATATAGGTTGAATAAAAAAAAAATCAAAAAATTTCGCCTTCTTTATGGCACTAATAAAATTGCGCTATTATGCAAATTACTTCATTCAGTTCAATCTACATGCAGTATTGTCTGATGCAAGGCTGCTTAGATCTTGCTCATTTTTAGTTCATTTCTCTTTATAAAATATAGAAAATTTTTACTGATTTTCATTTATTCTCTTGTTATGATTTCAATTAGTAAAATTTTATTGAAAATCAGTCAAAAATTATTGAATTTTTATTGGTTTTTAAAAATTTGAAAATTTTTAATGATATAGAAATTATCTGCTATTTATAGAATTATTGTTATTATAGAATTTTTATTATGATTTAGCTTGAAAAATTATTAAGCAGTACTGCGATTTTTAGAAATGATAACATTTATTGTCCCTTCCTTTGTTTTTTAGTACAAATTTTTAATTATTTATATAAAAACCATTATTGTTTCACTATAAGGCCCAGTTTGATAAAACACATGCAAAATTGTTGTTCTTCAATACACACGTTTAAGTAAATAAATATTTTAAATAATAATAATAATAATAATAAAATACAGTTAAAAATTAATTTACTTTGTCAGCTGCAAGAAATTGTTGCAAAAATTGCATCATAAATCACCCAAAGAAATCTTTTATTTGACATAATTTAAATTTATTTTAATCAAAGTAAAAATGTGCCTCAAGTTCTGAAACTTCAAATGAATTTAATTAGTTTTTAGTCTATAAATTATTTAAAAATTACTTCATCAATGAAAAATAAAACAGTACATTAAATATTAAATAAATTATTATTAAAATAATATAATAATAATAATAATAATATTTAAATTTAACTAATTTAATTTAAATTTATTAATTTAAGGCCAGGCTCCTCCAAAAACCGTGTTTTTTTCAAACAAATTTTATTTATATTACAAAAAATATTTATAAATCAAAGTTTTTATAAATTAAAAGACTTATAAAAGTACTACTTGAAAAAAATTTTTTTTCTTATTTTTTCAAAATGGCGGCTCCTAAAATCGCTGCCGAAACGCTTCCTTCGTGTTGGTGGGTGACAGGATAACTCAAAAACGAATCATCTGAAAGCAAAAATCAAAACGGTTTCTTAATCTGTATCACATTGGCTATGGTGTGAACTACAACCAAAAATATTCATTGTTATTTACAAAAGTTATAAACAATTAAAAGTGAAAAAAAAGGGTAAAAAACTTAAAAAGTCTGCCATTTTGTTTTTTTTTGGTGAAAATATTTTATTGTAGTTCACACCATAGCCAATGTGATACAGATTAAGAAACCGTTTTGATTTTTGCTTTCAGATGATTCGTTTTTGAGTTATCCTGTCACCCACCAACACGAAGGACGCGTTTCGGCAGCGATTTTAGGAGCCGCCATTTTGAAAAAATAAGAAAAAAATTTTTTTTCAAGTAGTACTTTTATAAGTCTTTTAATTTATAAAAACTTTGATTTATAAATATTTTTTGTAATATAAATAAAATTTGTTTGAAAAAAACACGGTTTTTGGAGGAGCCTGGCCTTAAAGCAATATATTTTATAATAAAATTTGAAGTTAAAAAATTAGTAAACAAATTTTTTTTTTTCATTTGAACTTTCAGAACTTCAGGCACATAATAAAAATATATTTATCACAAAGCCTAATAATTTTATTTTTGCTAAATTAATATTTGAAACAAATAAAAATTTAGCAAAATTAAAATTTAATTTAGAAAATAAAATTATTATTTACAGCAAAAAAAAATTTTTTTTTTTAAATCAAATAAAATTAATTTAAAACAAATAGAATTTATTTGTAACAAATAAAATTTATTTGAAACGAATAGAATTTATTTGCAACAAATATAAAATTAAATGGAAACAAATTGAATTTATTTGCATCAAATAAAAATTTATTTGACTTTCAGACAAAAATGTTATATTTTCTCTGGCTGATGCGGCAACTGTAACAATGATCGTGTATTTAATTATTGGTATATAGAAAATTGCGTTACTTTTTTTTCTAATGAAAAAAAAAAAAATTTGGAAAATTTATTCCTCTGACCTTCCCTATTTATTTCATTTATTAATAGTAACTTATTCAATTGTTTTTTAAGACTGTAAGGTAAACCTATATCGAAGACACACGATACGCCTGTTGCAATATAAGTAAGAACATATATATAAGAAGGGTTATTTAGTTGAAAAAAATTCTAAAAACTTTTGTATAAATACGGTGATAGATTTAATACTGTTATTCATTTCAGTTTTTGAAATTGAAGAATTACCTTCTTGACAAATCAAATAACGGAGCAAAATGTTTAAAGTGAGAAAATACATTTTATTTAAATACAAATATTATTTTACTATACTTTTGTTATAGATTGTATTAGAAAATATTTTTCTAATAAATTTTTTAAATATTTTTAATTATTTTTAAAATTAATTTATAATTTTCTAAAGTGTGTAAATTATTTGATATACTTTTGTTTTTTAATTTATTTATTTGAATGATTTTTATATTCTATTGTTTAAGCTTCTTTTGTCAGCGTGTATAGTAGCCATTGCATATGGTGGATATGTGGTACCACAATTGCAGCCAGTAACTACCAACTACGTTAGGGGTATTTGCATTTTCTTATTTATTAGTTTAATTTAAATTTTTATCTTCAAAATATTAATTTTTTTCTAAATCCCAAATATTAAAATAAAAATGATGAAATTCTTGTTTAATTGTGAATCAGTAAAAGAATTCATTAATTGAAAATTAAATCATTCCGAGATTCAGATTTATATTACAAAATTAATGAATTTGAGTCATTGTAATTTTTGAAAAATTAAAAATAATTTAAAAATTTCTAAATAAAAAATGTTTTTTTATTCACCAGGTGTGGTTGTACCTTATGGAGTTGGAGTTGGTCGTGTTGGAGTTGGACATGTTGGATCTGTAGTTGGACTTGGACCAGTTGGAGTTGGAGTTGGTCCTGTTGGATCTGTCGTAGGAGTTGGACCAGTTGGAGTTGGAGTTGGTTCCGTTGGATCTGTCGTTGGAGTTGGACCAGTTGGAGTTGGTTCTGTGGATTCTGTTGTCGGAGTTGGACCAGTTGGATCAGTTCGAGTCGGCTCAGTTGGACATGGAGTTGTAGGTGGAGTGGGAGTTGTATAAACTTAAAAAAAACAAAAATAATTTTTTATGAAAATATGCGTATTACAAAAAATACAATTGAGTGGAAATTCCAGAAAAAAAAATTGTGTGCAAATGATTGGTAAAATGTGACAAAAAAAAAAATTTATCTGAAAAAAAATTGTACTATAATTTGTGAAATAAAAAAACTATATTTGGAATATTATCCTATCTTTTTTCTTTATCCTCTTCTATTACAAAATATGTTTTCTAGACATTGTATCTCTGATAATGCTTCAAAGAAATTATTTCCAAATTTACATTGTTTAAAAAATTTAAAATTTTCTAAAAACAAATGATTATTGTTTCAATACAATTACCAATTAAATTTACAATTTTTTCTATTTCGAAAAAGACAAATTTTTTAATATTTTAAGAATAAAAAATCTAAATTTTAAATTTCAAGACTTGATAAAAAAAAAAGTATGAAAAGTAATTTAATTTTTTAAAAATGTAATGTACATACATAAAAATGGTCCACACATCAGTAAAGAATGGTGTCTTATTTTGAGGGAAAAAAAGGAGATTTTTCTTTTTATCAATTTAAATATTATAAAACTTTTAATACACAAATTTTTTCGCAAATTGATCAAACTTTAGGATCTTATTTTCATCCAATTTTTAATTTCAAATTGTATCTTAAAATAATATTTTTTTTATGAAAATATAACAATGCACTGAATTTTCAAAATTTCGAGACAGCAGATGTTTCACTATTGAGGGGAAAATGAAGTAATTTTTTTAATTATAGTTATTGAAATTTTTTAATTTTGATTTTTGAAGAACAAAGTCTAACTACTTTTTGTCTAACTAGCACACACGACTATATACACTTACTTTAACTATTTGCAGAATTAAATAGCTAAATGCCTACATAGTAGATATCTGTTGAAGTTGCTGATGCAATAAACGTCATATTGCGAGTGTACTCTTGTACTTTTGTAAAAATATCGAGAGTTCTATACAAATTCATGCAGGGCCAGGAAATATAAATACCCCTCGAGACCAAGGAAAATCATTCAATTTTCTTCTTGCATCTAAAGAAGTAGTTTCAAACATGATGAAGGTATTATAAACAAACTGAATTCTTTTTATTATATATATATATATATTATTTCATTTTGATATAATGGACTATTTTCTATCCTTTGAATATACGATAATTAAATAATTTCATAATTTCATATATTTAACAAAATAGTTTTTTTTTTTCTATAAAATCCATGTTTTCAAAATTGTCATTAACATATATTTTTTTAATTGTAATAATTAAATTTTTTATTATCATTTTAATGAAATAGTTTCTATTAAATTATTTCTTGTTTGCATTATGTAAAAAATAAATATTAATTTTTTTTTATGTAGTTCGTAGTTGTCTTTGCCTGCCTTTTGGCTGTGGCTTATGGAGGAGGACTCACCAGTCTTGTTGGACAAAGTCATTTGGCTGCTCCCATCAAAATTCAAAGTTACATTTCCCCCGCTCCAATTATTAAAAGTAATTAATATTTTTTTAAAACGATAAATTATTCAACAATCGTACAAATATAATGAATGAATCTGTAATTTTACTAATTCTCAGAATATTCATTATCATCAAAAAAATATTTTACTTTTTATTTGTTGACTAATTTGTTATATAATAATTTATAAAAAAAAAAAAAAATTAATAATATGTTTTATATTTCAGCTCCCATTTTGATTCCCAAAATTGCTGTTCAACCTCAAATTGTTCACAGTAAGTTAATTAAAAAATAATAAAAAAATTTTCAATTCAAAAAAAAAAAATTCTTTAAAATCTATTAACAAAAATTGGAATTCTAATTTGAAAGATTTAAATTTATATGTATAGTTAAAAGATACTTTGTAGTAATTTAAGTATCAAATTAGTATACCTATTACATAATTAAAATATAATTTTCTTTCTACAGCAGCTCACCCAGCCGTTGTTGTTGGTCACGGTCTTGGTCTTGGTGGTCTTGGTGGTATCGGTGGTCTCGGTCTCGGTCTTAACAAAGGACTCGATTGGTAAAAAAAATTGACTTCCGATTGAATTTTTCTAAATCTAAAAATTTCCACCATTATAAAAGAATAATTTCATTTTGTTTTGGAAACTCAAAAATTCTTTAAAGAAGACATGCGTATGGAAAATTGAATTTAATATAATTACAAAATTTATGAGAAATAAATAAATAAAAAATTAAAATAACAAAAGCCTCATTTTATTTACTATATCCACTTATCATATTTCCAATTTGAATTTGTTTCCTAATTCTTCAAAAATTTTTAATAGAAATTAAAAAAAGTTTTCGTCACTTTTTTACTTGGAGATAAATATATATAATTATTTTTTGTATATAGGGTTTATTATTTATGTTGAATAATCACTTCATTAAAAAAAAAAAAAAACATTTATAAAATGCGTGAGAAATAAAAAGGGTACAGAGAACAGTGGCCTACATGACATATACAAATACACACATATGTTATTATGTAACAATGTTGATGTATATGTAGAGCACCTCTCCTTTTGAATGAAGCAATAATACTATCGTGGTTCTTTTTCAATTGATCCTTGAGAAAAGAGGGCTTTGAAGGTTGTTCATTTTTGCTTCCCACAAATATCTCATCTTTCCAGGAAATAAGCTGTCTTCAAGGATTTTAATTTCTACCATTTTTCAATGATAAAAATTTTAAACATAATAATGAAAAATTCCATTTTATAATTTTATATTATAATTTAACTCGATTAAAAATTAGTTGAAATTATATAAACAGTGGTATTATTAGTATTAAGTAGAATTAATTAATTAGATTAAGGTAAAAAAATAATTTTGTTTTCTCAAAAAAAAAAAAAAAAAATTTTAAACACTTCATTTATAAAAAAAAGTTACCTTATAGAAATATTCAAAATTGATTACGAAAAGCAGTCAATGTCCTCTATATTATGCGCATATTTCTTGGCAAAAAAAAATTCCAATTATATTATTCGACAATTATATAAAAAAAAACATAATTTTAATACCTAAATTTATTTGTTTCGATAAAAAAAATTATACTTGTACAAGGTAGGTCACCCTTTGAAACGAAAGTTTAATAACACGAACATTTTCAAGGTTTGTGCTTACCTTGATCATAATGTGTTCTTTAATTTTAAGTTAAAAATTATTCATTGATTTTTGGAAAGTAATTTTAAATATATGAGACACAAAAACTCATTAGTAATAATATTTCTCGTTCATTGCAAAAGTAATGTATTTTTTTTTTTTTTACTTTACGGAGAAATATTTTTTTAAAGAAAGTATTATATCATTTCAATAGGTTTTTTGATATACATCTCGTAGATGCTAATATACGAGAATAATGATTACGAAATAAAATATCTAGAGTAATGTGCGAGCCTAAAAGATCTATATTCGAATTGACATCTTATAAAAGAAAGTATGAAAACATTGTATAATCGTCAAAATAAAAATTGTAGAATTAAAAAAAAAAATTATTTATTTTTAAATAATTAAATTATTAACCATTAATTAATGTTTTTACTAATAATATTAATATACGTTTATTTGTATAATTTATATAATTTCAAATTAGTGTTTTCAACGTAAATAATTAACTAATTTTTTTAATTCAAAATTATTTGAACAATAAATATATACTAATAATATTTTAATAAATATATTAACAGATAGAAATTTAATATTTTTTCCATGTCGAAATTTCTTTTAATAGATTTTAAATACGATTACAAAATTATATGTCAGAGTCCACTTGTCATATTATCTGAAGATCAATTATCTGCAGATCACATAATTGCAGGACACAGGCATACATTTGCAAATTAAGAAATAGTTTAGTATTTTTTTTTAAACTACACTGAAAAAAGAATTCTTTAAATATTTATTTATTATTTGAGTCAATTAAATTGTAATTATTTTTAATACAGAAATTATTGGTTCAAATACAGTTTATTTAATTCAAATAAAAATTATTTGAATAAATATTTACCTTTTTAATAGTCAAGTAACCGATTATTTGAATTAAATAAATTTTTTTTTTGAGTACTACTAAAATAATTATTGCACACTGCAAAATAGATGATATTTTCTTAAAAATTTAATTATTTGTAACCTTCGGTATTATAAAATAAAAATTGGCAGTAGATGATTGGCAAAAAAATATATCGGCAATTGTGTATATATATGTATATATATATATACGATGGTCAATATTCTTTGAAAGATTTCATAAGAAATAATAATAAATATAAATGATAAAGAACTGCGCGATGATTAACGTGAGAGAAGAGATTGGGCGTGACAGCGCGCTCCGATTCTGTAACCCAGACCTTGATTATGCTCTCCACCGAAAAAGCTTTCTTTCACCTCCCGCTTGTCAGACCTCGCTTCATCTAAAAGGACCGGTATTTTATTGCGAAATAACATTTTCGCTATAAACGAGAGAGAGAGAGAGAGAGAAAGAGAGACTAAATTTTTGGTATAAAAACAGTGGAGGGACCCTCGATTGTCATACAACTACCCCAACCGTACCAGTGTGAAGAACAACCAAGCAAACATACAAAAATGTTTAAGGTATTATATAAATATTCAATATTAAATTAAATTTGGTCATTGCAAAAAAATTATTCTTTTAAAATTCATAAATTTCTTTGCAATATGAAACAAAAAATTTATTTAATTTTATTTTTTTGGGAGGGGAAAGTTAATTTATAAAAAATATTTTTGAAAAAAAAGAGAATAAATTATTTTTGTTTATACGATTAAATTAGTCTGACCAAAATATAGTAGTAACTACTGTCAGGAAATTGGGATGAGCTGTCTGACTATAACTTTCGCTACTACTTATTGTGTGTATTCCACGATTTTTTTTAATACGTAGATTAATTAATTAAATTGATATCCAAATTTTAAATCGATTGACAATGAACCTAAAGTTCTGAACCTTTAAATGAACGAAAAAATTGTTCGAATACAAAAATAAACTTTTTTAGAAAATAAAAAAAAAAAAAAATGAGTTCAGAACTTTAGGTTCTGAAAAAATGTTTCTCTTTTTAAATTCCTTTAGCTAGTATTTATAAAACTTACCTGAAAATAAGATATTCCCTTTCAGATTTTATAAAAGTAAAAAAATCAATTTTTTTTTCCAGTTCATCTCTTTCGCTGCACTTTTCGTAGTCGCCCAAGCTGGATTCATTGGTTCTCCAGCTGTGACTTACAATGCTGCAGTTTCTGCACCACTTGCAATTCATGCTCCAGCAATTGGATCTTCTCAACAAAGTGTAGTACGCTCTTTAGATGGAAATTCGGCAGTTTCCCACTACAGTAAAGCCGTTGACACTGCTTTCTCAAGTGTTCGTAAATACGATACACGAGTGACCAATGACGCTAAATATCTTCAATATGCAACTGCTCCCGTCTATCATGCTCCAGCACCAGCTGTTTACACTGCCGCCGCAGCTCCAGCTGCTTATGCTCCAGCTTCAGCTTATTATGCCGCAGCTGCTCCAATTGTAAAAACCGTGGCTTCAGCTCCTGCCTATTATACCGCAGCATCTCCAATTGTAAAAACCGTTGCTCCAGCTGCTTATGCACCAGCACCAGCCTATTACGCTGCACCATCTCCAATTGTAAAGACTATTGCTCCAGCGGCTTATGCTCCAGCATCAGCTTATTATGCTCCTGCAGCGCCCATTGTTAAAACCATCGCCGCAGCTCCAGTTGTTGCTCACACGACATTCACTGGATTTGGTGCATCATACGCCTTCTAATTAAACTTGAAACAAAAATTTTAATTTATTTTGCCCTGGCAATTAGTTCAAGAATGAAAATTTGTAAATTTGTTACCCGTAAAATTATATAATGGATTTCCATATTCTTCTGTTTCTATGACTGATCACATATACGATTCATCTCATGATGAATAATTTGCTTTTTCTATTTATTGAATCGAAAAATGATCAAAAGTACTTTCTTTAATTTTAAAGTACATGTCAATTTTTAGTCAATAAGAATAGGTTTATTTATATTTTCGTCATTGAAATACATCCTTAAAAAAAAAAACTTTTTCAAGCATTTATCCTTTTTCATCCAGTCTAAAAAATTAAAGAAATAAAATTTCAATGCCATAGTCAAAAATCAATAGACTAAATCAAAATAATATAAATTAAAAATATTTTATTTCATTTTATCAAGACACAAATTGAATTTTTAATAATCTCTTGGGTCGTTTAAAAAAATTATTGTAAATTACAATTCCAAATGCAATTTAAAATAACCAAGACAATTTTATTAAGTTCATATATTGAATTTTATAGACAATGTGTTATTTTGAAAATGCACACACAATGCAAAATAATAATTTGAATTACAATATTCTCAATGTATCTTCCACTTAATCTAAACTTAATTCGAATTAATCGAAAAAAAACCAGGTACAATTTTTTTTTTTTTTTTTTTTTTTATCGTCTGTCATCAACATTTCACTATTCTTGAAAGTTGACATGACGTAAGTAAACTAAAAAAGAAAAGCATATTCATCAAAAATCGATAAAAAATAGTAAAATAAATAAATTTTAATCACTTTCAGTTAGTAGACCTGTACCAAAATTAACTAAATTCGTTGTGTTTTTTATCTCTCAATCATAAAACAGGTGCACTTAAATTTTTTTTTTTTAATATATAATCAATAAATAATAATTAGTATCTATTTTTTTTCAAAGAGTTTTTACAAAGGTTTTTCTGGGTATAAATTATTGACTATCTACTTAAAAATTTCAACTATTGTATGGGAGATAATGAAATATTTAAAAATCGCCTTCTAAGGATATTAAATAATCAAAATGTCACTACAATTTTTAAAAGTAGAACTAAAAATCCATATTAATAAAAAAAAAAAATATGTGCGAATAGCGAAATTAAAAAGCTTCAGACGATACTGAATTGTCTTATAATTGTGAAAGAATTAAATTCTATTTAAATTTTTTAAAAACTAGTCGGATCATCAGATCTTTTAGAAAATGAAATAAAAAGAGCCACACTATGTGAAAAAAGAAAGAAATTTAAAAATAATAAAATAATTTTTTTACATGGAAGTTGGAGACCAAAAGTTCATTTCACGAAGTTCAGATGGTTTAGCTTGAAAAACACTTGTTGCAGTTTGTTTTTCAGGCGTTTTTTCATCCTTACCAACGTATGTTAAATTTTGCGATGATATTGATTTCTTACGACTTAAAACTCTTGCCGGTATATTCTCATGGGAAATTTCTTCTTCTTCATCAATTTTTGATGTTACAATTTCACGTGGTTGTCCCAAAATTCCAGCTAATATCCAACTACCCTGATATTTTTCACGATCGGGAACAAAAGCACCGGTAAAGAATCTATTGCCATGAATTCGTCTACGTGATTTTGGCGAACTGTCAGGTGTTGACATGGGCGATGCAAGTGGTGTTGCAGGAAGGGATTTACTTCCTTTTGGAAAATTATTGTCGGCATGTTCGGAACGAAAATCAGAATTGGAATTAGTTTTACTTAATTTGCCGGACATTATTTGATTTGCTACATGGACAATTGACTTGCCACAGAGGGCTGGTGTTCCATGAAAACCATCATCCGTACCCAATGATTTTGGCTTGATATTATTTGCCAATACAGTTTTTGGAGGTTTATACGTTAGTCCTAAAATAATAATAATAATAATTTATAAAGCTTGTTTTGATAAATACTGTGAATTTTAAATTGAAATAATTTTTTTTTTACCTTCGTTAGATTCACTTGGAATAAATGCCTGGCAAGCTTTTGGATGTTTACTAAAATCGATTTTTTTAATGTCTTTAAAATTTGGTGCACTTGACTTAACAGAGGGCACTTGATTGGTTTCTTGATTTGCACTGATTACAGTAGAGATATTTGTGAATCCAGAGGCATTTTCAGTCACCGGATCCTTGGAGTATCGAATATAAAAGAAATTATCGTCATGTGAAGGTGGACTAAAAGCACTGTCATCGAAATCGAATCTGAAAAAACAATTCTTATAATTTACAAATTGATTTAACAGTTTTTTTTCATTAGAATTTTTAAAACAAAGTTAAATTGTAAAAAAATGCAATAAAAAAAAAAATTCGTCATCAAGTTTAAACTTACCTTTTTCTAAAAATTAATTAAATCTTTTGCCTTATTAGTTTCTAAACTGAGTTGTAAATTACTAAAGTTCTTAACTGAGAACTGAACTTTGAGAGAAAAAAATTTCCAAAGATAATGAATTTTTGCCTCTATTTCGAGATGAACTTGATTAAGAAAAAAATTGACTCATGTCAGTATCGTATCGCTGTTGTCAGCATAAGTCACGTTCGTCTACTGTATGTCGTGTAACGTCCTAGATTCATTGGCAACAGTTCCGTAAACGAAATTCGAATGTATGTTAAATTAACAGAAAAAAGTTGTCGGACAATTTTTTCACATAACAAAGCAAAATTACATCTTTTATCCTCATTCTAAGATACATTGTTGAAAATAAAAAAAAATATTTACCTTCAAATAAACAAAATAACAATCATTCTTATAATGTCTTTTTCAAAGACTAGAATAGGAAAAAAAAATTGAGTAATTAACGTTACCTAGCGGTTAATAATAATCAAAAAATTTCTATTATTGTTAATTAAAACAAACTAAAATAAATTATCAATCAAAACAAGAATGTGATGCAGTTTTTAGTTGTTTATCATACCTACTATAATTATCGAAATAGCTAAAAAAAAATTTGGAAAAAAACTTTTTTCTTTAGTCTTTAGAGTTTGCTAATGTGACGTTAAACTATATTATAAATTTTCTCTCTCGTTCAGATGCGCGACTATCTAAAAATACGAGATCTCGTGACTGCTAAACAGGCCAAGTCATCGATGCACGCCTTCTTGGAGCTACAATGACGCTGACACGCGCAATATAACGCCTAAATGACTTTCAGTGTGTTGTGTTCATCTCTTTGAAAATATTAAAACAATAAAAATTCTTAATTTATTAAAATAATAATAATTCTAGAAAATCTTAAATTCATTAATCAATTTGTCATTCCTCTAAACAAATTTACATTTTATTAAATTGAAAAAATAAAAACAAATAACAATAATAAGAAATGTAAGTGGCTCTTTATCTTTCGCGTTAAAAAAAAAATGTTTGATAAGAAAATAATAGATTGACTTCTTGGAAATTCATCATTGACCAAATATTCAATAAGAATGTAAAACATTGTATTATATTTTTAACTAAATAGTTATTTGAAGTTTAAAAGAATTATAATTAATTTTGCAATTATTTGATATTCTGTGTGTGCATCATCATGAATCATGACACGAAGTAACCTTTGCGATAAATTCTAACAGATGTGAGATTTAAAATGTAAACATAATTTGTAGGACCACTTCTTAACAATAAAAAATATTTATTTTCTAAACTATAATACTTAGGAAACAATTATTAATAAAAAAAAATTTGTAAACAAAAAGTAGTCATAATAATATATGATTTAAATTAATGAAAAAAAAAACATAGAGAAAAACATGTTTTATGTAACAGTATTTTTTACATTTCATATCTGTATATGTTTTATGTATGTATCATTTTTATCACGTGAACTTCTGATTTTTCCGCTTTTTAAAGTGAATAAAAAAAAAAATGAATGATCAAGTATTAACTTGAAGGAACTTGTCCAATATTACAGAATACAATTTAATTTTTATGTCAATTTATCATTGACAATACTTTTTTTAAAAAAAAAACGTGTAATGTAAATTTAAATTGTAAATTAAAATCTATAAGACTTATTTTAAATTTATAGAGAGAGAAAAATTATTATTACTCTATTTAAAAATTAATGTATTTAAAATAGAATTAAATTTAATTAAACGAATTTTTTTTACTATGTATTAATTTACTATTTTAATATACATATATATTTTCATAAATATGAAAATCTAACAAATTTTCCATTCATCACTTGCAAACTAAAGTCACAAACGAAATTATAGACATTAAATTTGCCAACTCATCAATTTTAAAAAAGACACGTTAATTTACCAATTTTTTAAATTCTTACATGAATTTTCAATTTTTCAGATATTAAATATTTAAACGATTTAAGACCGTATAGAAATTAAACTGTATAAGTCGAAAAAACCAGAATTTGTGGTAATCTGGGATTATAATTATTAGTCACAAAATTGACATATAAAGGTGATGACAAAATAATCTCTTATAAATGGAATTTTTTTCGTTTCTTTAAATACTTCCGTGACGTAGGAAATTTAAATGCTTCATTCTTTAAATAACGTTTTAGAGTTTCAAAACAAATAAAAAAAAAAAAAAAAAAAATTTACTGCAATTATTTAGCAAGAATAAATAAAACTCACTTATTGTCGAATTTTCCTTTCATCCATTGAGGAAGGGAAATTCCACCACCTAAAGACTTGTCCTGCGGTCTCGCAGAACCCATTGTATTTTTTCCTCACCAAGTTAATCAATTAGTTTTTTTATCAGGCGATAGATGAATTTATTTACTTTTTCTTGAGAAATTATTTTTCAATACGAAATTGAGCAATATTTTTCCTTGATATTTGTTGTTTGGGCCAAAATACTATTATTATCAAAATATAAATAAAACTTTTAATGAATTATAGAATTTGTGTCCTATTTGTGATTCGGTCGGAAATATTTGCCTCCTGAAAGCTTGTGATTTCTTTCGTGCCTTCTAGGAGTTTGAATTCACCACCATTCTACTGACCTGTAAAGACAAACATATTTTCATTTATTAACTGGAATAATAATTTTCCATTCTAGTTTTAACACTTTTTTTTTCATACAGTGAAATTTATAACAATGAAATTTGAAAAATTACTCAGATTTTGTGTTTGTTAGTAGGTCAGGTTTGATAAATTTTAAATTCAAACCTATACTTAAATATTCAACATTTCTACATGTTTTGACGCTACTGGCCTATATAGTGCTTTTCTATAGTTCATTACTTTATAGTTCAATGGCCTGTAATCATGCGAAACCCTAAAGTTTGCATGTTGTAAGTTATTACGTCTACCGAGTAAAATTGTATAGAATATAATATAATTTTCTACATACATTTTCGAAAAATCAGAAATTTATAAAATTTACTCATACAAAACGAATAAATTTTGATTCAATTAACAAATTATGTAGATTATGCAAATATTATTATTAAAATTCAAATATATTAATAGTATAATTAACTCCTTTATCAAAATTAAACAAAAACTAGTGATTTTAACACATTTTCCTCTTAGTTTTAATTTTATCATACAGAATAGTCATATTCAGTTCTACGAACCAAGAGGTTGACCTTGTACGTGGAAAATAACACAAAAGAATTCACACATGGAAATGAAAGAATAAAAAAGTGTCTGATTATCTGCATGACGTATAGATCAATACAACACTAACGTTATTAAAACACATGACGTAAGTTTAGATTATTGTACACTCCCTCAAAATGCTGACTTTTAACTGGAGGTTCATTTTATCAGCCACGAGTTTTTGTAATCAAATATCTCATAAAATGCAATCTGCGCGCATTTTTTCCTAACGCAGAGATAAACTTGTTTAAGTTCACTTTTGTTATTTACAAAGGTAATGTCTATTTTCTATTTAAAAAAATGTATTCCAGACAAACAAGAAATTATTTCTTTGTAGTGCAAAATCAGATTGCATAAACAGAACTCTAATCAAATTTATTCTAAAACCACTTTAAAACATATTAGAAAATTTAAATTTCTTCAAAACTAAAAATGTAAATATATGGGAGCACAAGATAACAATAATAATAATGTAAGCAAATGGCACACCATTTATCTCTTCTTTAATCATCGTAAACAACACAAGTGTATAAATCTTTTGATTTTAAACCCATTACTGTTTTTTATTAAAACAAAAAAAAATAAAATAAAGAACTTGCAATTTATTCAAACAAACAATTCAACTTAATAGAAGTGTATATTATTTATTTTCATATTTAGCATAATATCAAAAGAATAAACAGGCCAAGATATATATATCTGTCACTCTTAACTGATTGTTTTTATTATTTTAAACATCACTTTTTATACTATAAATTTTCAAGCAAATACCTAATGGAAATATTTGCTCTCTGAATTTGAAAAAATTAACACATCCAGTTATAACAACAACTGTTGTATAAATAGATTTTTCTGGCATAAATTTATATTTCCAAGACTGCACTGGGACTCTAATTGTTGCATAATAATTTAAAAGCGCAGAAACAAAACGGTTTATTAATATTAGGAAAGTGAAAGTTCATGGTCGATTTTGTTCCGCTTGAAATTTAGAAAATTTAAGAAGTTAAAGGTTTACTCAAGGACAAGGAAATTATTTACATTAAACTAATATCTGGTAAATTATAAAAAGTTGTTTAACATTTGAATAATTATATATTGCCTTTTTCTTTAAATTAAAAACAATTTATGTAAATTCGCAGTAGAAGAATCGAGAAAATAGGTGTATAATAATTGTTGACATTTTAGTGTTTGACGCATAAAATTGAAACAACGATTATTCCGTTTTAACAAAAAGAAACGATTTCATTTGTTTTATTTTAGAAAATATACATACTTTATTTTTTCGGCACATTGTTGATTTTTCAAAAATTGATCCCATAACTTCACAAAAAAACAAAAGTTGTTAACAACACAGCTGTGAATGACACAACTGTCGATTATCACAAATGCACACAAATGCAGCAGTAATAGCAATTGACAGGACAATACAGAAATCGCGACTTAAGAGCCTCTTGCGTTCGTTTTGTGAAACAAAATATGGAATTTTTTTTTGTATAATTGTAACTAATTCTAGATTATCTTTCACGTAACTTTAACATAATAGTTCAATTTTTTACAATATTGACCAAAGTTAATAATATTTCTAAATATTATTTAGAAATACTTATTTTTATAAATGATAAATTTTGTTCATTGTCATCTTGAATTTCCCGCTATAAAAGTGAGACAGAGTGCGCTGTTGTTTTCAAATATGGCCGACTTGTTATTATGATTATTATTGGAGTTCAATAGGAGTTTTGTCCTTCAGAAGTAAACACGTGCACGTGTAGATATATTTTATAATTACTGAACTATTTAAATAATGACAAAAGTTAGAAAAGTAAAGAAAAGGAAGAGATTTCAGGCAAATGTGAACCGAAAACGACTTCGAAATAAGTTAAATAAACTTCCAACAATAAAATGGTAAATAACCACAAATTGGATATTAATATTAATATTATTATTATTATTGTTACTATTATATATTTTTATATTGTAAATTATTAAATTATATAATTTTCCTCATAAAAATTAAAACAGATTTTGAAATTTTTTTTTGGATTTTTTACAGTAAACAAATCAAAGATGCTTGGGAGGTTAAAAAGTCAATTAAAGGAAATTTAAAAGATATGGGTTTGGCAGCTGATCCTAATGAAATTTTTAAAATTCCTAATACAAAGAGACAAGAAATTGAAAATGTTAGTAAAGTTAGAGCGACAGAAAATTTTATTGAAGAAAATCTGATTAAAAACCCACCATTGAAGGTCCATGTTGCTGAAAGTTTGGAGAAAGAAGCTAAAACACCAAGAGAAAGAATGTTTAAATTGCCCAAAAATCAAGTACAATTTATAACATACATGATGGATAAATATGGAGACGATTATAAGGTAAACATATTTATATTATGCCACATAACCTAAAATTACGATTAAATTTTAATTTAAAAAATTTTTAGGCAATGACCAGAGATAAAAAGAATTATTATCAATTGACTTGGAAACAAATTCGTGCAAAAGTAAACACATTTAAAAATATTCCTGAACAATATGCTGAATATTTGCTTGAAAAAGGAGAAATAGTTTTAGATGATCCAACATCATTAGCTGAATCAAAAAAACAACAAGCTTTAGAAAATTTTCAAAAACATTGTATTTCAAAGAAACCCAAAAAAGAAAAGAAACTTTTTGCTGAATGGGAAGAAGAATCAATTCAACCTATACAAGATTCAGGTGAAACTAATTCCGATACTAATTTAGAAGAAGATAATAATGATACAATTCAGAAAAAATTAAATCTTTTCCTCGATGAAGAAAATGAAAGTGAAAATAAATCTCCAATAAAGGGAAAAGGAACTGTGAATGAAGCATCAAATGGAATTCTTGAATTTAAATCAAAAAAATCTAAAAACAATTCAAATAATCCTTTAAAAGAGGAAAAAATAACCAAAAAGAGAACAGCAGAAGAAGAAAAGAAAATTACTAAAAGAGCAAAGAAATTAGAGAAATCAGCTTCTAGTGATAGTGAAGATGAAAATGAAGTTGAACTTGATGGAGAGGAAGATAATTCTGAATTTGTTAATTTAAGTGATTTGAGCAGTGATGAATTATCCGATGATGATGTTTTAGATGACGGAGAATTTGTCACAGATTCCAATGATGAAAGCGACTAAAATTATCAAAAAACGAGCATTTTTATTACTTAATATTTATATTCATTCTTGTTTTATGTTGTATAAAAATCATGATTATTTGTTAAAACATAAAAGTACTCAGAGTTTGAAGTAATAAATATTGTTTTATATAATACACGTAATGAAAAGTTTTTTTTTTTTTTCATCTAAATATGTATTTACATTGATTTAACAACTTTGATAGAATAGTGTGCACAAAGATAACAAAGATATCACAGAAAATCAAAATATATAATTATTAACCTATATATAAAGCTTTTTTTTAAATCAGAACATTTTTATTTTTTCAGAAAATTGTAAATTACAATAAAAAAAATAAACTTATAATTTTCATTAACTTTTTTCATTTTCGTACGTGAAATGTTCTCATTTGTTAACAGACTTTTTTTTTTAGTGAAAGTAATTAAAAATAATAAAGCTAACAAAATTTTAAAACAACTTTTTTATCTTGTACACAAAAGTGTTAAGAACAATACATACAAAGATGGTAAAAGTTAATAGTTGTTTAACAAAAGTTTATGACTAATTATACAATACGAGACCAAAGTATTATCAAAGCTTTAACGTTTAATAAAAAAATAAAGTGCTCAATGCACATGTAGATTCTAGATATTCTTCATTTTTTAAAACTATTTTATGTAATATAAAAAAGTCATTTTAAGCAGTCGCCATAACAAATATTTTTTTCTTTACTACATCTACGGAAGGATGATGGTAAGTATATTCCTTAGTACCTGGAGGAAGATCAGGTAAAGGACGAGTTTGACAACCAATCACTTCGATTTTATGTTTAGAAGGCGAAATACTAATCAGATCTAATGCTTTAGCTATTTCGTCTGGCCTGAGTGCATTTGGAGCATCCTGATAAAAATTTATATAAATGTTTATTGTATTCATAAAAATAGTTATTTGAAATTCAAAGAAATTTGGCAAGGTTACCTGTTTATTAGCAACTACTAATATTGGAACATTATCAATTCTCGAATCTCCTAATAATTGTTTAAAAGTTGATACGGCAACGGATAATTTGTGCATTTCTGATGAAGAATCAAACATAAACACCAAAAGATCGGTGTCTTGAAGGAAATTATTCCAATATTGTTTTGTATCTTCTGCTCCACCAACTAAAAATAATTGTTAAAAATTAAAAAAAAAATAAACAATTATTGAATTTAAAAAAAAAATAATGTAAATTCTCGTACTTTCCCAAACATTATAAGTATATTGTCCATTTCCCAATCGATAAACAGCAAATCCATGAGTTGGTGGAGGTGGAACAACATAAGAGGTATTATCAGAATTGGAAGCTGTTGCTTGATTCATCAGAGACGTCTTTCCTGATCCTTCTAAACCAAGAAGAAGAACTCTTCTTTCATTGGTATCGTCCATCTAAAATTTAATAAAAAATATATTTAACAATGCTAAATTATTTCTACTATTTATAAATAAAATAGTGCAAGTATTTAATGTAAATTCAACTATATTTTCATAATTTTTATAATAAATATATATATAAGAAATAAATAAATAAAAAAACACAAACCTTTGAAACTTCTTCAAATCCTTCATCGATGCTCTTTAAAAGTCTCTTTTTCCAATAACGATAAGCAACATATGCTCCTACACATGCACAACCGACATAAAATAAAGTTTTTTGACCATTTCTTGATAAATTTCGCACCATTTTTACAATTTTTGCAAATGCATTACACACATAACCTATAAATACTCCAGAAAAGGAACACTGTATTTATTGTTAACAATAAAAATTTGTATAAGTTGAATCAGAATTAAAATTCTCTTAGTATGAAATATTATATAAATTATATTATTGTAAACACTTTTAAATATATTTAACACCGGGCAGAAATTTATTTCACTTTTTTTTTTAATCTGTCACAAAATTAAATGGAGCGACAACAGCGACATTGAAAATATTTAAGGCCTAAGCAGAATAGATTCTTGAACGGGAACGCAATCGTGAACGGAAACGTAAGAATGGGTGAGAGAAGAATAAAGATATTTGCTATCCTTCTCTTACACATTCTTACGTTTCCGTTTACGATTGCGTTCCCGTTCAAGAATCTATTCTGCTTAGGCCTTTACAGTCGTCAGTCATCATTTTCAAGTATCCACGATCTTATTGGCTGTGTGTTGAATAGTTAGGCCAATGAGAATTGATGGCGGAAAAACTACCCTTATTTCAAATTATATACAAATTAAATTAATTAATTAAATATGGAATACAGTTAAAACTTATATTATTTAATGTTTTACGTCCGAGAAATATAAAATATGAATAAATAGATAAAATATAAATATTAAACAAGAGAAAATAAATGAAGACATTAAATTTAAGTTAAAAAATTAGAATTCATAAAACGAATTTCATATATTTTGATATAAAAAATATTTATTTGTTTCAAATAAATCTTATTTCAGTTAAATAAATTTTTAAATAAAAAATTTTATTTTCGCTGAATAACATTTTATTTGTGCTAAATAAATTTTGTTATTAAAAACAAATACAAATTTATTAGGCTCTGAGACAAATATATTTTTATTTGCTTTAAATAAATTTTATTTATCTCAAATAAATGCCAATAAAATATTTCTCTGGGTGTATGTATTATTTGCTTAAAGTAAAAAAAAAACGAATTATTTGATTTGAATAATGAATTACTTGATTATGTAAAATATTTATTTGAAAAACATAATTTTTATTTGAAATAAATCATTTTTATTTTGAAACAATTTTTATTTTCAATCAAATAATTTTTATTTTGAAATAAATTATTTTTATTTTTGAAACAAATAATTTTTATTTAAATCAAATAAAATTGTAATCGAAACAATAATTTCTGTATATATATGAAACGAATATCATTTAATTATTTTCAAAAATATAATAAAATACAAATAAATAATTATTTGATAATAAATTAATTGTATTGAAAAAATAAATATTTTTCGTCTGTCTAAATTAAAAATCTAAATAATATTTAAATACCTAATTATTTAATGAAATTATTTAAAAACATCAATTTATAAAAGTAATAATTAATAAAATAAAAATATTAAAATAAAAAAATTAAATTAAAAATATATGAAAAAGTAATTAAATTTTTCGTAATAAAAACATTTGAAAAATAAATTCATTTAACTTAAATAAATGAATATTTTTTTTAAATCCATCTCATGTATAGGGATCACAAAGAAAAATTCTTGAGAGTACAAAACACAATAATCCCTAGCAAAAAAAAAAAAAAAAAAAGTATAAAATTGAAAAACTGATATAGAAAGTAATGAAAAACATAACGAGCCACGATATTGCGAAAAGTTGCAAAGTAGCCAGTTAGCTTGTTTTGTAAAACGCGATATGAAGATTTGCGCTATGGAAAAGCGAGAAACATGCAAAACGAGAGAATACTATAATACGCGTTCTCTCGCGCGCGCGGGGAAATAACAGGGGTGGATTGAGACATACGGGGTGGAGCTTGACCTGGGATTAACCCCCATGACAGCCAATCATATTCTTGCACATCCTACCACGTTCAACCCCTAAAGCAATCCCCCCTCCCACCTCATCCCTTCATCCCACGTTAATTGCCTTAGCAGCTTTAATATCCCCCGCATGTGAAGTGAAAGATGGAGTCGCGAGAGGGGTAAAGAGACGCTTTTCCACATCATATAATTCCCAATGGGGATAAAAATTCGAAAACTTTATTTTGCCTCGCGCTTAAAAAGATATTTTCTTCATCTAATTTTATATATACAAAAAAAAGGAAAAATTTTTCAATATTTAAATTATTATTTATATTATTTTAATATTTATTTCATATTTTATTGTTTTGGAAAAATTTCTTTCCTCTACACTTCATTGTAAAGTTAATTTTTCCTCTGCTTAAAGAAAATGTAAAAAAAAAATTCTACAGTTTTATTAACCAAATAAATAAACGTTTAAAAATTATTTTCCGTATTCAAAAAAAAAAAATGATATTCAAATAATTCAATTTTTATATTCTACGCCCACAGAAAATTTATATATATATTTATCTCAGAGCTAAATAAATTTTTATTTCTTATAAATAAATTTTATTTTGGTTTCAATACAAATTAGCTCAAATAAAAATTTATTTACTTGAGCCGCAAGTAAAATTTTGTTTATATTAAATTAAATTTTGTTATTTGAAACAAATAAAAAGTTATTAGGAATAAAAATATTTTTAGTTTATTCAAAATATATTTTTATTTGTTTCAAACACCCAGAGAAATATTTTACTTGAACCAATATATTTGAGTTAAATAAACGTATATTTGTCTCACAGCCTACCAAGCACATTTATTTGGTGTAAATAAAATTTTTTATTTAAATCAAATAAAAATTTATTTGAATCAAATAAATTTTTCTTAGACTGTAAGACAAATATATCATTTTTCTGGGTAAATAAATGCAAATAAAATATTTCTTTAGGTGTAGGTAATTTTTTTTGACGAAAAAATAAACATTGTTCACAAAAACGGGGTATAAATTTTATTTATATTAAATAATTATTATTAGTCAATTAAATGGTATTTGTTTAAAATACATTATTGGTTCAAATACAATTTATTTATTCCAAATAAAAATTATTCAAATCAAAGAAATATTTATTTGAAATTAGTCAAATAACCGATTATTTGAAACAAATAAATTTTTTTTCATTGCACAAAATCGGAAAATAAATATTTTTAAATTTGTCATAATTAAAACAAAAAAACATTCCTTTTTTATGTTAATGAAAATAAAATATGATTAAAAAATTTTTTTTTTTAGAGAAAGATTATAGTGAAGATGACAATGAGAGTAGATTCGATCTCCTTGCGGGTCTTAATATATATCGAGAATAAGCGAGCTCTTATAAAGCGGAGCAATTATCCGAGTAAAATACTCTCCGAAATTTCAGTGATAAATTTAAGGCCGTAATAAGGGTGACTCGCAAGTCATTTGGACGTCGACGACAGGGATGGGTATTGAGCTTCAATAGAAATTCTTTCCATCCCAAACCTCGTCCTCCATTTAATTTAAACATTTGTTGCCCCCTCCCCCACCCCTTAGATCCTACCACCGAGCCAAAATTTCCCTTTAAAATCCACGACCACTATCGCATGCTCTTGCTTATATATATATATGCACAGTATAGACGATCGAGGTTCTTATTCAAAAGCTAATAATTACCGTTCTTTTGAATATACACTGCGCTGAGTCTGATTTTGTGCTTTTTAAATTTTTTTATTACCCTTAAACACTTCAATATGAAAAATATCCTGCAATGAAATGTAAATTTTTTTCGATTTAGGAAATAATAAAATAATAAAATAATAAAAAAAAAAATAATAATAATAATAAACAATAATAAAAAATTTCCCAAATTGAAAAAAAATTATATTTAATTATATTAAAAGAAAAAAAGTAAATCGTACTTGTTAAATTCCCTTTAATCAGAAAATTTATTCAATTTCGATTCTTACAAATCAAAATTACTTTTTGTTATTTATGAATTTATTTAGGTAATTTAATTAATTTACATACATTTAATAAATACTCTCTACACTCAGAGAAATGGTATATTTGTCTCCGAGCCTACTAACTCATTTATTTGTTGCAAATATATTTCATTTCATTGAAATAAAAAATTTATTTGAGTCAAAGAAAAATTTATTTCTGACAAATAAAATTTTTATTTACGCCAAATAAATAAGTTAGTAGGCTCTGAGACAAATATACGTTTATTTAACTCAAATATATTTTTTTTGGTTCAAATAAATCATTTCTCTGGGTGTACACCCAGAGAAAAGATTTCTTTAATTTAAAGAAACTAATTTCTTTGACTTGTTTTCTTTCATTCAAAATAAAATTTTCTTTGAAACAAAAAAAGCATATTAAATTAAAGAAATTCTAACATTGATATATGGGATCAAAGAAACATTTATTTGAATTAAATAAAAAATTTCTTTGAAACGAAGATAATTTTTTTTGACTCAAAGATATTTTTTTTTGAATCAAAGATAATTTGTTTGGAATAAATAAATTTTCTTTGTATCAAAGAAAAATTTGCCAAAGCAATTGATTTCTTTGTATCAAATAAGAAATCTTTTTTCTGGGTGTGTTAATCTGAATCAGTAACATTTTTAACTAATCTGAATTAATGACTAAATTTTCGCTTTTTGAATTAGTTATATTTTTCTAATTTTGTACTAAAAAAAATTTTGTTAGTTAAATTTTATTAATTCGAAAGCAATAAGTATGAGTCATTAATAAAAATTAGTTAAAATGTTTACTGATTCTTTGGAGAGCAAAAATTGGAAAAATTTATCATATAAATTGTAGGCATTAAGAAATAGTTGTTTAAAAAAAATGTTATTTAATAGTACATAATAAAAATTATTTTTATACCAAGTTTAATGTTAAAAATTTTTTTTCAAGTTTTAATATTCTTTTTTTTTTTTGATTTAAAAGAAAAGGGGATAAAGGACTTTTTGAAAGAAACCGCAAGTATCTGCACGCGCGGTAAACGTCTGAACTTTGAAAGCTAATTTTAAGTTGAAATTAAGTCATAAATTCCAAATTTACTGGAAGCTTTAAAGTATTTACTTTTCAGGATGGAGAAGAAAGAGAAGATAATATCTTTCCAACACTTTTGAATTATTACTATATGCAACTTTAACAAAAGAATAACTTATTGTCGCGTGAAAACTTTAACAGATTACATATTAACTTTAATTGGTGATTTTTTTTTTAAATTCAGTGTATTGTAATTAAAAGTATGTTTTTTTACTACCTTTTTTAATTAATTTTTTAAAATTTCATAATTTGTCTTTAAAAAAAAGTTAAATTTAAAATTGCCTTTTTTAATTAATAATTTGATTTTTTTAATAAATATATTTCTAATTTAATAATTTTAATTTAAAATAATTTTTAATTAATATTTACAAGAATATATTTGCTCTATGGAAGAGGAAGCAATATATAAGAATAAAATGTTTTGAGATAATCGCAAATAAAAAGAATGCGGTTTTAGACACATTTTCTCAGTGTAGATTTCATAATTATACAAGAAGCCACCTAGGAAGGTAATTAGAGCTAAGCTCCTTAGAGGTTTTCGGGAGGTAGAGAAATTCCCGCATGCCTGTCAACTTCTAATGAGGGGATTGTGGATGAAGTAGGGCTCTGAGGGGGGGTCTAATAATTATCCAAAACATTAAATTGAAATTTTCATTTAGAACACTTGTACCTATTTATATTATAGAAAAGATACATTTCTTTTTATATTCAAAGTTGTTGTTCTTATTTTTAAAAAAATTAAAGAAAAAAAATATATACCTTTTAAAAAAAAAAGTAAAAAAAATTGACTAAATATATTTTCAACTAAAAGAAAAATTATAATACCGATTTGTCTGACTGGAACTGGACTTTACTACTTGTAATTTAATTATACATGAAATCGAACGGTTTTGTCTGACTTAAATGCACTTTTACTACTGAAGAGAATATGGAAAAAAAATCAGTAAATTCTAAAGAAAATTCATTCATGTTGAACACAAAATTTTTACAGTCTGATCGAAAATGACTTTTACTACTGAAAACTAAATTACAAGTATTCCAACTGGTTTGTCTGACTGAAAATACATTTTACTACTGCTAAATTTTTTAAATAAAATTCTAAACTACTACAACAAAAATATGAAATATCTGAACTACTGTGACTATATGACTAAAATGATTTTTACCACTGAAAACTATTCCAAATATTTAAAATTATTTGTCTGACTAAAACTATTTGTCACTAATAATATATAACTTTTACAAAAGTTGTCCGATTATTTTGATAAAATTTTTTATAAAAATTTAAACTACTTTGTTAGACCAAAAATAACTTTTTCTACTGAAAATAATAATAAATATTTCTACAACGGTAAAAATTTGAAATATCTGATTTACTGTGGCTGACTGAAATGACTTTTACCACTGAAAACTATTAAAAATATTCACAGGTTGTTTGTCTGACTAAAAATTACATTTACTGCTGCTAATTTTTTTTAAATAATATTTTAAACTACTTTGTCTGACTAAAACTATCTGCTACAAAATTTGTTATTATTATTATTATTATTATTATTATTATTATTATTTATTACAAAATTAATTTAAAAAATTGTTAAAATGTTGTCTGATTAGAATTGACAGTTACTACTGACAAGAATGACAAGTATTTAAAGTTGCTTGTCTGACTAAAAATGTTATTTACTACTGCTAAATTTTTTAAATATAATTCTAAACTAGTTTTACTAAAACTATCTGTTATGAAATTATTATTATTTTTATTATTATTATTATTATTATTTATTACAAAATTAATATAAAAGTGTTAAAATTTTGCCTGACCAAAATAACTTTTACTATACTGAAAACGATTACAAATATTTATTCCAGTTTGTCTGACTGTATCTAATTGTTACTATTAATATATGAATTATTCCAAAAAAAAATTTTAAAAAGACTAATTTCTTTAATTAAAAAATTAAAAGAATCTAAACTTTTTGTCTGACTGAAACTAGGTATATCTACTACGAAATTATTATTATTATTATTATTAATATTTATTAGAAAATTAATTTAAAAAAATTGTTAAAATTTTGTCTGACTAAAATAACAAGTAACTACTGACAAGAATGACAAGTAATTAAATAAATTTGATTAAAAATATAATTTACTAATACGACAAAATTTTTTTTAAATAAAATTTGAACTATATTGTCTGACAAAAGATTACGTTTACCACTGAAAACTATTACAAGTATTTAAAGTTGTTTGCCTAACTATAAAACTATCCGTTATATAACTGTTAAATTTTTTAAATCAAAAATAAAACTAATTCCTTTATAATAACAAAATTAAAAAAAAGACCAGTTTAAACTACTTTGTCTGACTGACGAAAATGTCTGTTACTATTAGAAAATTTGCAACAACAACAAAATTGAAATACTTTTAATTACAAAAATGAAAATAATTTAAAACTGTGTGTACTAATTACGAAATTAATTTTTCTAAAAGAAATTTGCAAAAATAACTTATATTTAAAATTGACTTTTACTATACTAATCTCAAAAATGACAAGAATTCTAATTATAGAGATAAACTAAAAAATTTCTAACTAAAAATTAAAATAGGAAAAAATATTTAATGCTTATCAAAGTAGTAAGAAATTCACATATATAGGAAAAGGAAAAGTCTATAACCTCTTTATCTCAATTTAAAAAATAATTGCGGTCTCCTTACCAGGATCGCAAACCTCGACAAGAAAAGGACTCTCACCGCACACAGTAGAATTAAATAACCTCGTCGTCATTAGTCGGTACCTAATTACAATGCGGGCGCCTCCAGACGTGGATGACATCGTCGAGAACGTTCTCATCCTCAACGTATGTCTTTCTCTCTCTCTCTCTCTCTCTCTCTCTCTCTCTCTCTCTCTCGTTCTCTCTCATATAAGAGGGGATGAGGGTGGTTTCAGGGGTAAGTTAGACGGTCCACGAAAGCTTATTAATGAGACTCAGGATATATACATATACTCATCCTCACTTCCGGTAGGATAGTCCCTGGGGGTGGTTACAGTAAGGGAATGCAAAAATAAGGGTAAAAAAAAATAATAATAATAATAACGGACTCTATCTCTCTCTCTCACTCACTCTCTGCAAATAATCCCCCACGAAGCATTCAAAGTGGGCGTGTCATTCTCTAAGGGTGATGGCGGATCTGACCAATCACAACCCTCTCATTCTCAACTGAGGAAAAAATATTGACCGACGGATTATGCGGTCCATTTGGGGGATTGCGGAGGTGAAACGCAGCGCGGTGGTGGACTGATTGGGGGATGCCGAGGGTAAATACCAACGTCACGTACGGGATCATTAGCCAGATATCCTTAGTTTCACGACGATCCTCTTACCGCTGACATCATTATCAAAAAAAAAAAAATTATACATACATTTCATTTATTATGTTACAAAAATTTCCCTAAAAGTGTAAATTAATTTTCGAGAGTGTTTCGAATTTTTATTTGCAAGTGAAAATAAAGAAAAAAAATGTTAGAATATTGAATTTTGAAAAAAAAAACAAAAATGGATCAGGATCCGACGGACGTGTCGGATAGAAGTGAATCAAATCACTCGGAGGTGCGCGCATTTCAGGATTATGAAAAATTAAAGGAATTAAATTTAACAGTGGATAAAAATAATGAGAATTTTAAAAAAGATTTTCACATTGATGGTAAAACGCATAATTCAACGGTACGTTTTGATGAATTTATGACGGACGCTAGTGAATTGGCAATTGCATTAAATAAGCCAAAGGATTTTAATTTTTTAACTGAACAAATTCGTTATTCGCGAAATTCGTCGAGTGATGAGATTTCAGAAATTGATAATTTACGAAATAAAGAAATACAAAAAGATTTATTTTTACGACAAAAAAATAATTCATCATTGGAAAGAAATAATAAAGCAGATAGTGGAATTTTTAACGATAGAGAAATAAAAGATTTTGGAATATTGAAAAATTATAATTTAGAAAGAATGAAGGAATTTAATTTATCATTCGATAGAGTTAGGGATAATGTTAATAATTTAGAGAGATTTCGTGGTAATTCATTAATGGAAAATTCGGGATTATTGGAGTCTAATGATTTTATGAATTTACAAATACAACAAAGAAATCCCGATTTGGATGCATTGACTTATGAGAGAATGAGGAGATCACATCTTTTGACAACTGATTTATCGTCACAAAGTATTGCCACTCAATTGTCGAGAACGCATTCAGTTGGTCAGAGTCAACATCAACATCAACAACAGGTGAAGTCGTTTACGATTGATGCAATTTTAGGATTGAGAAATAATCCCAGGGAAAAACATCAAAAGGGACATCATCCATATAGAAAACATCAGGGTATGTTTCCCCTATAAATAAACAAATAATTAAAAATTTATATATTTATAATTAATTTTTATTATTGACGTCTATTTGAGGCGAATAAAAATTTTTTTTCCCTACATTTGCAATTAAAAAAAAAAAAAAAAATTCATTGAATTTTTTTTCTTTATTTATTTATTGCTATAATTTTCATGGGAAATTAATTTACATCAAAAATTGTTCCAAGTATTCAATGTTATAAGGATTTAAAATTGTAAAAATCAATAAAATAAAATTTAGTTTTCAATTTTTCATTTTTAAAGTGATTGATTCTTTTTTGTTTGATTAATAAGTTTGCTGTCAAATATTGGAAGAAAAAAAAGTTTTGTGGCTAAAAATGCGATAAAAATTTTTTACAAACAATTTTTTTTATTTGATAAAAATATTGATAAAATAGTGATAAAATATTCCAAATTTTCGCATGCTAAATGAATAATAAAGAAATAGTTTAAAAATAAATTAACCTCATTTGTAAGTGAAATAATTTTTATCTGGAATTTTCAAAAAAAAATAAGTATATAAAATAAAATAGTTTAAAAACAAATTAACCTCATTTGTAAGTGAATATTTTTATTTTTTTGGAATTTTGAAAAAAATTACAAATATATAAAATAATAAATACAAGATGATTTTTATGTTCCGGACCCCCTAAACAATTTTCTTTTATTCTCATTTTTTTCGTTTTTTAAACAAAAAATAATGGAATTAAAAAAAAATGTTATAGATGGTCCGGAACATAAAAATGAGGAAAAAAATTGAAATAGTGATTAAATTTTTTTTTTTTTTGCAGGCCAGGAAAGTTCGGCGAAAGGAAGTTCATCGAGTTCATATTCGAGTGGAGGTGGAAAATTAAAAAGGGTGAGAACAATTTTCACTGCCGAGCAATTGGAACGATTAGAGGGTGAATTTGCGAGACAACAATATATGGTTGGACCCGAGAGACTTTATTTGGCACATGCATTAAGATTAACGGAAGCTCAAGTTAAAGTTTGGTTTCAAAATCGTCGTATAAAGTGGCGTAAATTAAATCACGAACAACAAAGTCAACGACTACATGAATTTCATCAGACTTCATTATCGAATTTAGAACAAGACGACAGTAACGAAGCAAGTGAATGGCAAAAGTGATTCTCTACTACTTTTTTTCCTTTTAAAAAAAAAAAAACACTGAAAGTCCCCTTTTTTTGAAAATCCAAAAAAATATCCTCATTCTCGACATATAAATATTTTCACAAGAAAGCTCAAAGAGTCTCGGACAAAAAAAAAAATTTTTATTTTATCTCAAAAAGAAAAACAAATTTCAAAATAATCAATTAAAAAAACAATTTTTGAATTCCAAAGTGGTATTCATTAAAAATATTTTTCTATGAAAAAAATAACGAGAGATTACTGGCAGATAAGGAAATAAGAAAAAAAAAAAGTGATCGAGATGGGTGAAAGATCCAAGGGGAAATTATCTCATGCATCATCTTATGGATCATCGGGTCCAGACAGATTTCATCCTCAGGAAGCATATTGGAAAAATCATAGGGGAAATAATCCATCAATATCCAATTGTCAAAGAGACAGGTTTGTTTTGTAGTTACGAAAAAATAATTTCGTAAATTAAATTTAAATTATTTTAAATTTTTAAATTAAATTAAAAAATTTTTTTTTTGCTTTTATTTCACTGTAGAAGACAAGCGGGTGGAACGGAAAATCAAACTTTTTTCATACCTGATAATAGAAAGTTAAAATCAAATTCACAACATCCTAATTATCAATCGGTACAAAATTCCGATCCACTATTTAGACAGTATCAAAATTACAAGTCCTATAGAAATAAAAATGGCCTTATTAATAATGCGGGAATTTCCCGTAAAGGAAAGGACTTTAAGGAGGATGCTGAAAATGATGCTGATGATGACGATGAAGATGACGATGAATTGGGAGATGATGATAATGATTATTACGAAAATGAAACAAACGCTAAAGAAGATGGTAACAGAATTTTTAATTTTATATTATTATTATTACTATTACTATTACTATTACTATTATTTTTATTATTATTATTTTTTTTAGAGGAAGACAATCAAGTTGAATCATCTGTTTCTTGTGAAACAATTGAAAAAAATAACGAAGATCCCAGCGATGATGTAGAGGAAAATTATATTTCGTCAAATTATCGAAATAAATTTGAAAAATTTCCTTCATCAATGATGGAGAAATTGAAAATGTTGGATTTTGCTCACGCATTGAAAATGAATCAACAAAGAAGGATGCAAAAAAAATATCCAAATACAACTCAACGGTAGGTTTTTTTGTTTATCGAAAATTTCAAAAAAAAAAAATTAAATTTTTTTTTACTTAATTTAAACTTTTTTTGTTTAATTTAATTTTAATTTTTTTTTTTCCCTTAAAAATAATAATTTCAATAATTTCAGAGACTGTCAGGATATGCAAAATCAAGATTGCACAGATGAAGTAACTGAGGACGATGATGAAATTCCACAGCGTCAATTTCGAAAATCTCAAAAGCAATCAATTAATAATAGTAATAATTATCGTCAGCCAAATAATTCATGGTTATCTCGTGATCATGATAATTATCATTTAATTAGATCTCAGCAAATGTATAATTATCCAAAAAAATATGACATCAAGCAAACAACATTAGATCCAAATTTAATGGAATATTACAGTAAAAAAAGACCATGTCGCTATTGTGGTGGTACTGGAAGTGATTTAATTGAGCCGGCAATTACGAGAAAAATTAATTGCAGAGTTCATGATTCGGCAAAAGTCAACTTTAACACTAAGGAGAAATTCGGTATTTTTTTTTTTTTCATTTTACAATTAATTATTCTTAATATTCTTTTCTTAAAAAGTAATTATTTTTTTAATGTAATTTTTAATTCAAGTAAATATTTTTATTTTTATTTGATTAAAATCAAATTTGAATTTCAATCACATAAATACAAATAAAATATCTAATTGAACGAAATAATTTTTATTTGAATTAAAATGAACCAATAATTTCTGAATTTAAAAAAAAACCATTTACATAATTGACTTAAATAATAATTATATTTATTACAAATCAATATTTATTTGATAATAGTCAATTAATCGATTATTTGAATGAAATAAATTTTTTTTTCACTGTAGATGTGTTTTTTTTAAATAATATTTTTTTTTTTATAATTATTACAGATGGTGAATCAGGAGATCCAGGAGAACGTTACATTAGCGGAAGAAGGAATTCCCCAAAAATAAATTTACTGAATATATCCCCAACAAATTTCACTTCCCAGAAATCTCGAAGGTCCAGGAACACAAGATCACCAGAGCGAACATAAAAAAAAATCTGTCCTATCACGATCTAAAAATATTGTTTTCCTTAAAAAAAAAAAAAAATTGTACATATATCAGAAAAAAGTTACCGAGACTCTCATCACTTTAAATGCCTTAACTTTTGATTATTGAAAAGTGTTTCAAAAAACAAGAAAAAAATTAACAACAAATGTTTAAAATAAGAAAATCTTGTCGAGAATTATTTTTTATCTCATATATCACTCTTCTCATTATTCTCATTTGTTAATTATTATTATTATCAAATTAAATTCGATGTATATTTGTACATGTCGCACTTTTTCTGAAAAAAAAAGAATTTACGAAGCAGATTAAACTTGTAATATTGATGTCTTTAGATTCGTAATATATTAATATTTATATATATATAGTATAAATGGAAAATGTATATTATTATAATTTTGTGATCCTGGAAAAAATGTTTCTGGTTCGTGATGCGCGAAAACAAATTATTTGTAAATATGTGATACTAATGTTAAAACACATTATATACATGTCGGCGAGAAATAAAATCTCGAAACTGTACATTGGAAATATGGTAATTTTCATTTGTTTCTGCCTCTTTTTACATTTAATTAATACGTATTAGAATTTTTAATTTTAATTTCTTATTTTTATTATTATGTTTATTTTTATTTATATTTTTCTAATTAGGTTTATGTTTATTTTTAGTTTTAGTTTTATTTTTATATTAAAAAAAATATATATATTTTTCAGAAGTACAAAAGACAATTTTTTTTTTTTTGGAGGGGTGACAACAAACGGGGGTTTTTTTTATCAGAGTAGGAAGAATAACGTTTTTTTGGGGGGGGGATGCATTCGAGAGAGGCCAGTGCTTTTTATGTGGACCTGCATCATGGCTACACACAAACTACAAAGGCAAAAGCTTATATACACTTGGCTTTTGTTAAAATATTAATATCGCACCGGGAACTCTGTCGCTTTTCCTGATGCTGAAGGCTTGCTTTGTACAATTAAACTTAATGTCTTTATTATATCATCGTGCCTCATATTATACTATATCTAAACCATGACACTGAATTTTGAAGGCACACAGAAAATGAAGATTTTAGTGCTGTTAATTTAATATATATATATATTCTCTAACACAACGAAAAATAATTACTGAAATAATAAAATTAATATAAAATAATAAAAATAATATTGTATTAAAAAAAAATAAAATTATAAAAACAAATTTTAATAATTTTTCAAAATATTATTTAAATAACTGAAAATAAAAAAATTAATTGAAAAAAAGATGAGCCAAAAGTTCTGAACGTTCAAATGAATAAAATATTTTTTTCAATCTATAAATTATTAAAAATTATAATGTCAATGTAAAATAAAACAATAAATTAATAACTTCTTTCTAGATATTTAAAACAATATTTTGTAATAAAATATATACCTTTATTTAACTCAAATATATTATATTTGGTTCAAATAAAATATTTCAATGGGTGTAGAGAAATATTTTATCGGCGTTTATTTGAGACAAATAAAAATATATTTGTAGCAAATAAAAAAAAAAATAAATAAATAATAAATTTCATTTGTTTTAAATAGAAAAAAAAATTATTAAACATAATTTGTATTTAACTGCAAAAAAAATTTATTTGAAAGAAATAAATATATTTATTTGTTTCTGAGACAAACTCTGAGTATAGAATATATTTGATTGATAAAAAATAAGAATTAATGAAATATTTACTTTATCATTAATAATGAATAATAATATATAAAAAAAAATTAATTAAAAATAATAATAAATATATTAATAATGTAAAAAATAAATATTGAATTAATTAAAATTTATGAAATAAATAATTTATTTATATAATAAATGAAAAATGAATAATAATAATATATGAAGAGGAAAAATTGGCGCGGAAAAAATCAAGACGATCGAGCTTTCGCACATCAAAAGCTCTAGAGACCTGCGTGAAGTTAGCTCCGCCCTTCCTCACTCCTGCGTTATACAGTATGACTTCAGGATCCAGGGATCCGAACCCCTGCTCTACCGTCGTCGGCATCCGCGGCATTCCAATTAGCTTGCGAATCAAAAGAGCCCCACTGCCTTTGTGGGGTCTCTCACCCACCCCTTCATTCTCTTGCTCTCTCTCTCTCTCTCTTTTCTCCCAGTCTCTCTACTCATTTCTATATAGGTATATATGTAACAACTATCTGCTGCTTCAGCCCTGCTGCAAATCCCTTTTCCTCACCCCTTTCCACCCTTATAAATCCTCATATGTATTCTTTCACCTTTCAAGCAATGAGTTTTTCTTTTTCTTTTTTTTTTTTCATTAGCTTCCAATTGGAAAACTTCGATTAAATCAATCATCAGTATCAGCGTATGCAACAAAATGAGAAATAACGTTTTAATGTTATTTTTTTTTTTTTAGGAAAATTACATGCGGAAAAAAAGCTTTAAAAGCAATATCAGTTTGCAAAATTCTTAATTGAAACAACTTAAACTTTCGTTATTCTAATGAAAAGTTCAAGCTTTTTTTCTGTTTATACCCATGGAAGATACATTTTTTGTTTCAGAGGAGAATTTTGTCTCAGAATAAAAATTTTATTTGCGCTAAATAAATTTTTTTTTATTTAAAACAAATAAAAAGTGTTATAAAGCTCTATACACCCAGAGAAAAGATATATTTGTCTCTGCACCAACTAGACTTTTTATATGTTTCAAAAAAATTTTATTTGGTTTAAATAAAATTTTATTTGGGTCAAATATATATTTTATTTATGTTGAATAAAATTTTTATTTAAAACAAATAAAAAAGTCTAGTTGGTGCTGAGACAAATATACGTTTATTTAACTCAAATATATTTTATTTAGTTCAAATAAATCATTTTTCTCTGGGTGTAAGATGAATTTATTTTTATTTGCTTCAAATAAACAAATGGTCCGCGGAGAAATGTATATATAAATAAATAAATAAATAAACGTCAATAAAATATTTTTCTGAGTGTAGCTAAATTAACTACAAAAAATATTTATTTATATCAAATAATTATTTAATGGTATCAAATATAATTATTTATTTGCATCATATAATTATTTAATTGTATCAAACATAATTATTTTATGGTATTAGATAATTATTATTTGAGTCAATGAAAAGGTATATTTATATTTTAAGTACAAAAATTATTGATTCATATACAGTTTATTTCACCCAGAGAAATGATTTATTTGAACTAAATAAAATATATTTGAGTTAAATAAACGTATATTTGTCTCAGAGCCTACTAACTTATTTATTTGGCGTAAATAAAAATTTTATTTGTCCGAAATAAATTTTTCTTTGGCTCAAATAAATTTTTTATTTCAATGAAATGAAATATATTTGCAACAAATAAATGAGTTAGTAGGCTCGGAGACAAATATACCATTTCTCTGAGTGTTGATTCAAATAAATATTTATTTGATAATAGCCTAATAACCGATTATTTAAACTATATAATTTTCTTTTAGTGAAATCTTTCATTGTTCCATAGGTGAACTTTTTTTTCGTGTACAGAAAATTAATTCTTATAAGGACTGAAAGTAATAAATAAATTCAATTTTCAAATATACAAATTTCTGTTACCTACATCCAGAGAAATATTTTATTTGAACCAAATATATAATATATTTGAGATAAATATATTAAATATATATTTGAGCCTACTATAGTTCATTTATTTAAATCAAAAAAATTTTATATCAATTGAATAAAATTTATTTGCAAAAAAAAAAACATAGATATATCTTTTTTCTAGGTGTATTAATATAGGGAGGCGCGTGATTATTTCATAAAAATTATTAGTTAGAATTTTTATTATTTAAAAAATGTTATTAGATATAATTATTTTTTAACAAATTTTTATTTTTCGAATGAGCCTTCAACATAATTTTTTTGTAAACGAATTTTTACCAAATTTTTATTTGGTAGAATTTTTGTTATTTACACCCAGAAAAATGATTTATTTGAACCAAATAAAATATATTTGAGTTAAATAAACGTATATTTGTCTCAGAGCCTACTAATTTATTTATTTGGCGTAAATCAAAATTTTATTTGTCAGAAATAAATTTTTCTTTGGCTCAAATAAATTTTTTATTTCAATGAAATAAAATATATTTGCAACAAATAAATGAGTTAGTAGGCTCGGAGACAAATATACCATTTCTCTGAGTGTATTTATTATTATATATAATAATTATTTTTTACTTGTGCCATTTGCAATTGAAAAATACGAAGCACTTAAAATTCAAATAAATTAGAATTCTGTTAAATTAAAATTCGATTAAATTAGAATTCTTATAAAAAGTTGTGTATAAAGAGAAATTCTATCAAATAAAATTTCTACCAAATGAAGATTTGGAATCTACAAATTCTGTAAAGTAAAAATTCGTTTTAAAATGAATATATTTTGTCAAATGCTAATTCGAAAAATCAAAATTCGTCAAAAAAAAGAGAATTCTTTAAAATGAAAATTGTTTCGGTTATCAAGTTTACAGTAAATTCACTATAAAATAAAAAAATCTTGAAATAAATATATTATAAATATTAAATGTGGTTACTTTGTTTTTTGAATTGAATTTAGAAAAAGTTGTTACAATTTTTAAAATATTTTTTTGTTTAAATAAAAATTTATGTTTGTAATTTGATGTAAAAAACGATTCTAAAGATAAAAAAAAATGAACGCAATTTTGATAAAAGCTGTTAAAATTAAAAAATCCTAAAATTTAATTGAAGTTTTGTGGTGTATGTGTGTATATATAGGCACTTCCATCTCTGGCAATATTGACATGCCTATGTTCACATATGACCATATACATATACATGTGCTGATTATGAGTTCATGGCCTCTCCGTTTGATATGAATCCGACGCACGGATTGGTATGGAACACGTTTTATGCAAAGGAATGCCCTTTGAACAAACCACATATATATAGGTACTCCACACATTGTGGTTGCTTTTCGAATGCTATACAGTCTTAATGCCAAATCTTTACCCTAATATATATATACCTAATATAGATTCGAATTCAGCAATATTATTAGAAAAAATTTATTTCAAACTCTATATTTTTATTAAAATTTTTGAAAAATGATAATAATTATGAAAAAAAAAATTACATAAAAGAGTAAGCGCTCATTTTTAAAATTGTTACATCAAAGAATATTCGTAATTGGAAGGTGCATCCGTTTGAGCAAAATAATGTAGTGTGCGAGTCTCGCTCGTTTTAATTTTACCAACCACCCCCGCCCTCCCCCAATTCCACCCCCTCCACCCCTCATGGGCAAAATTACCCAGAGAACAGTGGGAATTGGGCGGAGCGAATAACCAACAGTCGCATCAGAGACATATATATATATATAGAAATATACTATATATATATGTTGGTAGTTTTTAATATTCGAGAATGATAAACAAAGTGAAATCTAACGAAGTGGATGGGAGCAATGTAATAAAATTTGCTTTTGAGTTTCGTCGACGAACAAACATTCAGGG